GAGATGGGAAATTTATAGAACGCATGACAGAAAGAGGAGGGGCTTCAGGCGTGGACCTCCTCCAAAACTTTAGTTATCCTTAACTCTCTTTTTTAAGAGGTATTCCGTACAACCCTGTGTAAAGATACTGAATTAAGTGTCTCAGTGTTTGTATTTTGCTATTTGAGGCTGTTTGTACTAACAACTAATAAATGCAAGACTAATAAATGCTGTCGCTCTAGCCATGATCAAAGACACACTCATGCACATACAAACACTTCACGGCAAAGATGAAAGTAAAAGTGCCACAGGCGAGAGCTCCTTATAGAAGCACTTCTTGCATGTGCGTGTGTATTTTTGTGAGGGAGTGTATGTGCGCACTTGAGTGCAGTAGGTTGCTTTTTAATTCTGGCCATGTCATAACCTAAAAGTGTGGCTTGGGCCACCAGCCAAGCCAAGCTGCAGAAGAACAAAGCTGTACTCCACAAACCTGCTGCCTGCTGCTACCTGCCCTACACATGCACCTGTTCTTGCACGGCATGACACCAAACCACATTTTACTCACTCAACACTTATTCTGACACACTGTTTGCCTGTAATAACATCCATAGCCATGTGTGACATTTAGGGATTGAAGCTTTATGTGAAGTTTAAAGGGTAATGACCACCCTGGTTACCCTGGGTAATTGGAGAAAGCCTCTTAAATCAAACATGCTACTTGTTTGTGCTTTAAAGATTTTATCTTATGTTCTTTTTTTTCGAAGACACTAGTCAGTCCACATATTCAGTAATGGTGAATCAAAGAGGCTGCATAGTTTTGTTTTCTCTGCTAGAAGTGCAGCTAGAAGGATTCTTTGTTTTGAGATAAAAATCTGACGACTCCAGAGGAGTTATGGCATGTGCATGCCCAAACTGGCCAGAGTGAAACGCATCAATGTGTGTGCTACCGTATTTCTATCACTGTATAAAAGGTGCAAGAGACCCCCTTCATTGTTGGATGTACTGTGGGTTTTTTTCCCTCCTTCTGAGTAAGTGCACAAGCACTACACTGCATTACATGTCTTTTAAAGTTCTTATTATAAGAAGACTGGGTGTATCTCACACTGTCCAGCTGGTTTCTGCAGATTTTTTGGGTGATTAAAATACTGGCGATCACACACCTACACATCTTTTAAGTTGTTGCTAAACCGAACAGAGCTCAAAGAATTCAGGTGAATGCATGCATTCTCCCATTACGCAAATGAAAAACATGGAGCAACTTGCTGCTGTTGCTGTTTTCACTATGTTTTGCACTGGTGTAGTAAAGAAACAACAGTTAAAACATTTGAATGGGAGTTGTGGGTGTAAAGATATGTGGAAGTTTTCAGAGTTTTAATGCGCATGCATAGATTTGTGCTCACCCCTTAAACTCACTTCTTTAAAAAGCTTTTTTTTCTTTATTTGTGTGCTGTATTTTCTTATTTGGTGTTTTCAGTTTTCATTGGCTGTTGGGGGAATGCATTCAAATTGAGACGTTGGCCAGCATTCACTGCTAGCCAACTGACATTGGGGTAAAAGTTGTGTAATGTAATTCCAGCTTTAGTACTTACTATTGAGTTGTTTAATCAGAGTAATGATGAAACACCACTGATGTGTGACGTTCGTATTCTTGTGTCTTCTTGTTAAAAAAGGTACTTTTTCATAATTTCTGCATCACTGTTTTCATTCCAATATTTTCATACTTTGCCCTGTGCACCGTAGATTTCCACTGTGTGGATTAGCGTGTGATAGAGAGAGACAGAGAGCTATCTCTGGCACTCTCTCCCTCCAAACGTCCTTGAGCTCCTCACACTCCACCACTGTCTCCTGCCCGCTGGGAGAGAATGACTCGGCCTACATGGTCTGCTCTGCATATTTCTGCTCCTTTGAATAACTTATGGCCCAGCACTGGAATTAGTCTCAGCCCATCACTCCTGGACTGCCGGGGTCAATGAGTGACTCACTCTCTGTCTCTCTCTGACCTATTTTGTGCTGTGCTTGTGGTGCGATCCTTCATTCTCATGAGTTCCAGCAAAGTTGCTGTGTCCTTTCATGCTGATCTGAGACCGGTTTTGAGCTTTTCTGTTAGTAGTGAGGCACAATAAGACAGGAGATCAACACAAAAAAACACTTTTTACTTGTAGCAGCAAAAAGCTGACAAGCTCCATTGATTTACAGAGAATGTGTCCAGAGGAAGATTCTAACATTCATCTTTTTAAATAAGCAGCTAATCTGTGATGTAGAGCTATTGTTGTTGTTAAATTAGGCATCTAACGCAATTAGCATTAGCCCCTCTGCTGCTGGATTTGAGTTGCAGTAGTAGTGGTCGATTGCTTTGTAAAAAGTTCTATTTACTTTCCTTTGTTCCTTCTAGGAAAACAAGTCTTTTGGTTTGTAGCTTCACACAACTTTTTCCCCAGAGGTGCAGTTTTCTACCACTCATAATGCAGACAGACAGAGCTGAGTATACAGATAGAGCATTGAGCGAGAGAGAAAGATGCACAGAAAGGCTAAAAAAGAGAGAGAGCCTTACAGAGGCCTGAGCTCTCATCCAGAAAGCTGTGACATGTTAATTAACCAGTCCGTGTCCATCCTCTCTTCTACACTGAGCTGTCACTAATCCCTGGTTGAGCCAGCATTAGACCAGCACTCGCTTTGTCTGATCATGAGGGTGTGAAATTGTGCTTTTCTACATTAGCGTACATGTTAACAGCGAGTGACAGTGTGTAAAAGGCCCGCTGGCCTATGGATCAGCTGGCCAGTCTGAGCAGACTACAGGCAAACTTCATCTCATGCTAACAGGCAGAAAAGGCGACTACTGTGTCTGCTGTAGAGCTATGGATAGCCTTTTAATTTAGCTGTCACATCAGAATTAGTGACATTTGCGGAAACTTCACTGTATCTCTAGCTCTGTTGTGTACCACAGGGCATGAAATCATGGCATTTTCCACCAGTACAGTATGCTAACTAATCTAAACCCAGAACTATCCGCACCCTGGTCAAGTAACTGTGTCTATTTACCATCACACAGCAAAACCGTGAAAGTGGACAGGGTTCTATTGAGGTTGTTTGATGGTTTGATTGTTTGAGGTTATTCACATGTTGCTAATAGTAAACACAAAATAGTAAATACAAAAAAACAGCAACTCTGGATTTGGTTTTACATCATTTATTCTGGAAAAACACTATATCTGTTTGGTCGCCAGGAGTCGGAAACAACTTGACAACACTTCAAAATGCATGATCATGGGTTTGTGCACAGACACACATTACTACACACTACCATGTTGGTGTCACTGCTGTGATGAGAATGGCCACCCACCCAAATAACATCTAGTCAGTCGAGGTCCTTTTCTTTTTATGGATGGAGTTGAGTGACATAGTGCCTGAACTGATAATCTACAGTCGGTAATTGTAAACTTACAACGTGCACCCATATGGTAAGTGTGCCTGATAAAATGATCAGTTACAGTAGGTGCAAGATATGTGTGCGTAATAAACAGCATATAAATTAGTTAGGTCTTCGGGGCACTATCCTGTTAAATCTACACTCTTTAGCTTTTTTGCATTGGTGAAACATATGGTCGTCACAACCGTTTTGCTTGGTTCTGTATGTGGATATCTTTATATTTTTGTGGTATGCTCTGCTTCTGACTGACTGTCTGGTCTCTTTTGTCCCAGGTGGACAATTCAACATACCAGAAACCATTAAAGCACAGTATAGTACAATGTTGTGCAGTGGGGTGGTGGCCATGATGGGTCCCAGTAGGCTCCAGGCCTCTGGAAGTTCCTGTAGAATTCACAGTCCTGTTCAGGTCCATTGCATCACACTCACACGTTCCCTGCTATTGATCAACTCTCTTTCTCGTTGGGGGAGTTCTGCGCTGTGTTTACAAGAGATTTACCTCTAACACATGTTCTCACCCCCATGTTTCGCTCCTAACCTGCTTGTGGTACTTTCAAGTAATATGCACACAGGCAGTTGGGATAATCGTCTACTGAAGAGTATGATGAGGCGGGGTAAGAGTTACAGGTGGTTTGTTGCTAAGGTAACAAACAGATTAAGATGTTAAAGTCAAAGGAGCTACATGGGTGCCTTTTATAATATTGCGTGTGATGTCTGCATAAGCTAGGGCTCATATTCAAGGTTCTTGCCACTTTTTTTGTGTCTCCAGAGGAAGGCAAACTGTGATCAGTCATGTATGTTTCTACATGAGTTGCAGAATAAGCAGAGAGGTGGTGCTATAAGTGTTATAGCAGACATCTGCTCCACAAGGGCCCCACGGTTCCACACCATAAAGTGTTAATTGAAATGGGCTTGCTGAAGCTGAGTGGAGAGGCTCACTTGTAATATAGGAAAAGAATAACCAAGAGAAGTGCATTCGAGATTTTTCTTTCCAAATGTTTCTTACCAGAGTAGGTGAAGACTTGGATACAGAGCACTGAGAACATTTGAGTAACTAATGTGGGTTTTTCTTGACTGAGTGGGCACATTTGCTGGTTTTGTTGGCTAGAATATGTGTTAATTCTGTCATTATTATTCAGTAAATGCCATTAGGTTTGAGTTACATTGTGCATCATAATTCCTTTTAAGACACAGTGTTGGCTGATTTTAGATTGATAGCTTCTGGTTCTGATAAAGCAAAGGATATCTTCCATCTTAAACTTATCCATGGTGAGGGCATTGTGCATTTTTTAAATCTTGCTAAGCTGAAACACATGATTTTGTGTGCCTGTGTGTATGGTATGTACACATGTCTGGTAATGTGGTTATGGAGCATAACTTTCCTACTGTGATGGCCCACCTGAAAGTCCTGGACATTTTGCACAGAGGTTATTATATTTAATCCTGTTTTTTTATAGTTATTTTAACTGAGTACTTATTCTCATATGAATAAGAACTGTGTGTGGAGTACACATTCCTGTCTGAAAGGACCTCAACATCTACACCAGTCATGTCCACCAACATTCTTCTTGGTGTTTTGTTCCCTTTTTGTCCTCAGGCATTTGGGAACGCCAAAACAGCCCACAACAACAACTCCAGCCGCTTTGGCAAGTTCATCCAAGTCAACTATCAAGAGAGCGGCACAGTGAGAGGGTATGACAACTCACAGCTTTTGTCTTCATCTATTGCCATTCCCCCTCTTTTTAGCTTCCTACATGCATCTCTCCCTCTCCTTATGGATGTGTAAATTATTAAAGTGTTTCATAATTGTTGTGTTGCAGGGCATATGTTGAGAAATATCTGCTAGAGAAATCTAGACTGGTCTATCAGGAGCACAATGAGAGGTAAGATGAAGTAACATTCCTCTCTTGAGATGTATGTACTTTTGCTCTCAGTTTTTATGAACATTTGTGTCCATCATTTCTTGTCAACATTTGATAATAACTACACTGTCTTCAGTCAACAGTGATAGCATGAGAATCCTCAGTCTCATATTTATGCTCCATATGACTGGGAGAAATTATCACCCACTGCAGCCAAATCCACATCAATGCATAGATTTGTCTTGATACTCCAAATGAAGATGTGGCATCTGTTAAAACAGCTGTATGATTCTTTGCTAACATACAAATCTGGTTTCTATCTGTGCCAGAGTTTGTTTGTTTGTTTGTTTGTTTGATGTTTACTATGCGTAAACCACATGTCCAGGATTCTGAAGATGGGAATATGCTGATACATATGTAGATGCTGGAACATACAAAAAGACAATGTAACAGTTAACTGAACACATACTTGTTTACACATCACTGAATTGTATATTTTGGCATGCACTGTATTTTATGTGTCTCCCAAAACATTCTTTCTATGTTCACGATATAATGATATAATGTAATAATAGTTAATCATTCCAGCATGTAGGCTATTCTGAAACAGTGGTCACCAACCCTCTTACTGGAGATGCACTTTCCTGCAGAGTTTAGTTCCAACCTGCATCTAACATGATCACCTAGCGCTGATGGATCTGATCAGCCAATCAAAGACTACTGAATAAATTAATTAGCTGGAGCAGGTGTGGCAGACCTAGACTCTGCAGAAAGGTAGGTTTCCAGGACCCGGATTGGTGACCACTGTTCTAAAGGGTGCACAATAGGTGCGCTTGATATTAAAGATGCATACTTATTGTCTGTCACATTTGAACATGCAATATGCAGATGTATGAATACTAGCTTGAATATGAAAGGATGAAAATTAATCTGTGCTCTGTCAGTGAATAAGATCTGTGAATGTGTTCCAATACAAACTCAATTGTATTGGAACACATTCTGAGTGTTCTTTATGATTATGTCCATTTGCACAATTATGTCCATTCTTTTCTCTGTCTCTCTCTCTCTCTCTTTCAACAGGAACTACCATGTGTTTTATTACCTTTTGGCGGGAGCAAGTGAGGAAGAGAGAAAAGCCTTCCACCTGCTCCAACCAGAGGAATACCATTACCTCAATCAGGTAAGCCTGTCCTTCTCTCTCTTCCTCAGACTGCACAAAAGAACAGAACTGAGTCTGACTGAATGCGGAACCCACTATTTTATGCATCATGTTTTCTTTTTCTGTTGAAATGTAATATTACAGTGCCCCCCTTACATTAATTTACTGTTACCAAGAACTGCGTACACTCACAGACACACAGACACATGCACACGCCTGCATGTGCACCATGCGTGCACCACTCTAATGCAAAACCCGGAGTGGATTAAACGGCTTTGTTCTTTCATCCACTCCTTTCTTGGCTCTTTCCTAAAGAAGACGAGAGAAAAACACAGCCCATTTCTTTCCCTCAGATGTTTGTCCCTATAGCACACACCCCATAATCCCTCTCACACAAAGAACTGGATGACGCTCCCTGTTGCTGGGTGCTGCTGTTGCCATGGCAATAGTCATCGTCGGCAGCAGGGGTAGAACCAGCGTCAGATGGGGCAGGCAGTTGGTCGCGTGCTGCCTGTTTAAATGTCCGCCTAGCATTGACAAGCATCTACGTACTTGTGAAGCCCCACCACCCCCACCACCCCCACCCCCGAAAACCAAGCTGTTAAGCTTTTCCCAGTGCTCTTTCCCCCTTCCACTATTTCACTGAAGACAGCATTGATATGGCAGCCTGTCTTGTTCTCTCTGCCAGCCTAAGCAGACAACACTGTGTCCAATCTGAATAAGGCCGCCGGCTCTTCGCTGGTGTGAGTGTAGTTAAGTCTTCTACAGCTCCTGATTGATTCTGTAGGTGAGAAGTTCCAACCTGTATCTCAGTAGTTTTCTTAGTCTACTGCACTTCAATAGCAGCATATTTGCTAATATCATATCCTAGTAGGCTAGTAATGAGATCACATTGAGCAGAAAAACATTTTAACAGGTTTAAAAAAAATTACAGGTAGTGTCAGGAAAAAAGCAGAGGCACAAATGTTAAAAATGCTCCATTTCAGGTCATTTGTCCCCTCTAAAACATAAGTACGAGGTCAAAGATGCCCCTAAAATAGCTTATAAAAGTAATAAATCATTGTGAATTAATGCAATTACCACGTAATGGAACCGCCAATAGTTTGTGTCGCTTGACTCACTAATGCTAACCTGACAGTGTGAATTCTCACTCGCAGATAAAATCAGCCAATTTGTTATATGACAATCTGGTGTACACAGTGATGTCTTAATCAGTGTCTTAATCGGTGTCTTAATAAAGAGCATTAAACACCAGTTTTGTATTTTTTTCCAGTGCAATAGGACTTTGCCTCATTTGTACATTTTATGCTGTTGAGGTGAAAATACAATTTTGGGTTAATTTAAAGTGTTATTTTGAATATTTTGCAAAAAGTGCTGCTATTTGTTTATAAATCTCTGTTAATTTGGGTAAAAACTGCTTTTAAGGCATCCCTTAAAGAATTTACAGTTAGAGAGGCAGCTATATGGGAATGATATCCGTTATTTTTCATGTACATTTCTACCAATATCGATAATTAAATAAAGTGGTGAACAGTATGACCTACTTTATCATTATCATAATAACTTACATCACAATATGGTTTTCTGAGCATATCTAGTATATTTTCTTTACTTAAAGAGCATGGACTGATTAACTGCTTGTTTCATTACAAAGACAGCATAATTAGTCCTGTTTAATTGGATGTAGTGCAGCGCTGTGTGTAAAACAATGACTTAAAGTCATTGTATTCATAGTTTTCGGTAAAATGTTGGTACATTTTAAATATTTCCTTACTTGTTAATTTTTGTCTGTTTTAGCCATATCACTGACCTCTACATAAATATTTAGAAAATGTAGAAATAACCTAAATCTACATGGACTAGCATTACAGATAAATATAATATTTATTTCTACAGGGTTACAAATACAGTGAATAAAAAGCAGACATCTTACCACAGTAACCTAGTATCACCTAAACATTCTGCTCCTTGTGCATCCCTAGTACAATTTCCTACCTTGATCTCCAGCCATGTATTCAAAAATAAGCCAGTAAATAGTCTAAACATGTTTATGATTCCAGTGTGGGCATTTATCAGTGAGTGTGTATGTTTGTTTGTCTTTTCTCCATCATCACATCTCATGTCTAACCACATGTATTTTATCGCCCATCTGTTTGAGAGTGCATGTTTGTGTGAGCGTGTGTGCATGTGCGCTTGTGTGAGAGAGAATGTGTATCTGTAAGCCCTAACCCCTTCTAACTTACTTCCAGATGACAAAGAAAGCCCACAGACTACACTGGGAAAATTACTATGAGAGCGAGCTGGTTAGTATTGTCTGAATGTGTGTGTACCTTGTGTGTGTTGGGTATCTGAGTGTGCATAATGTGCTCTACTATACCCAACATTAAGCTTTCCCATCTCCCTTCCTAATATCTCTCTTTTTTTTTTTTTATCATTTGCTTCGGTCTGTCCTGTGTGTGTCATGTGCCAGGCACTGGCTGTGCTCGCTGGCCTGCCTCTGTGTGTGCAGCCGTCTGTGCAGTCCTGTGTGGCTCCTGGGGTCTTTTCTGCTCATCAGCACATATTTACTGGCACAACAGCTGCTTCAATGTGGTGTGGTTTCTGCTGTGGGCTTTGTGTCAGTATTGCTTTAATGGTCATGCTCTGTATTGGTGCATCTGGTAGGGCTTTTGATTTCTTAACACACCTTTACAATCACTTACTTATACTTGGGCATCTGGGCAAGGGCTGAGGTAAGTTATACTGGTTTGCACCATCCCAGGTTTTAATGCATGCATTAGTTGTATTCTGAATTAAGCTTTTTTATTAATCAAAACATCACTGGCTAATTTTCAAAGCCAGTTCATTCGGTGAGATTAATTTCTGCTCTTGGCTTCTTTTTTTCAGAAAGGAAAAGACAGTTTGAAAAGTGAAAGAACAGAGTGTACCATGCTTAACTAGCCAACAGGAACCTCGCTGGTCCTTTTTCGATACACTAGTGTTAGGGGTTTGATATTTCGCCAGTGGTTCCTGCTCCTTTTGCCAGCAACAAAGCAACTTTGTTTTTCTAGTGTTTTTCAATGTATCAGATATTGTCAGTTGGCTGGTAAAAAGCAGCCAGTCAGCATTTAACTTTTTTCTCTGCTTCTTTAAAGTGTAAAGTGCTGTTTTAATTGGAACAAGACCATATGTAAACTTACAGAACTGGCGTTTTCCTCTATGATCTGTCGAGTTTTAGTAGAAGGAAATGAGTGGCTCTAGATGAGGTGTAAAGCGATTCCTGGACCTTGACTCTGAAAACTGAAGGTTTTAGCAGGAACCCTGGTATGTGATAATGATAAGCTGGACAGTAGGACAACATGCCTGAGGAAAACACATTCATACACACACAGTTCTGTAAAGCAGAAATACATGCAATGCATGTACCAATTAGAGGTCTGCATGGGCAAGTAAAATTGAAGCCTAAACCCCACCTTTACCCAACCAGGGCTTACTGATACTGATGGACTATTGCAGGCATGGTTTTACAATGCTTTGCTTTGTTACTCAGTGCTTGAGCACTAGTCGGGTAGCAGACCTCTTGTACTCGTACATCCAATGACTGTGCTGTTATAGTTGTCAATAGACATTTTAAGCTTAAGCTGCAAGCTGGACATAGGCAGTCTCACACATGCACACAGCAAGAAAGTTCTGTCTTTTGGCTGTAAAGTACTGGTAAAGTACTTTGACCTTATTTTTGCGGCTGACCTCAGAATATTTGACATAATTTTTCATATAAAAAACATACTGGAAGTGCCCAGATTGTGATTTAAGTATGTATATCACTCTGATAATAATGAAGGTTTTAGAGACTTAATTGATGTTTACTGAAGTTTATGAGCAGCTACTTCTAAGTGAAGTGGGTTTGACATGCCATAGGTACAGACTAGAGGTCTGCGTGGGACTGTTTTTTTAGCCCAACACCACCTGCTCCTGCAAGATTCCATCCCGCTCCTGCAGAAATTCTGAATGATTTGTCCCGCTACTGCCCTGCAACCAAAACATTTTGGCCTGCTCCTTCCCACGTGCTTCCACCAAGACAAATTGACATCCAGTATTTGACATGGTCTATTCACAAGTACATTATTCTCTACTGAAATAATACGGTAGTCATGGCCGTCGGGCTTTCTGTGAAGTAACTTCACCATACACCATTTATTCCCAGTAAACACAAAGCAAGAATTAAATGGTTGAATTGTTATTTTGGGTATTTTTGCCAGCTGTGGCTGTTGGACTGAAGGCTCTGTACGATCTCTGATCTACAAGAATTTGCACGTTGTTCACATGACCGTTTGCTTTGCAACTCTTTAAAAAGACTTATTTCATTTTAATTGTTTTAGTGTTGTCTTTTGTATTGTTTATTGATTGTTTTACTTTATTTAGGCTATTCATTAATTTGTGGGATTTTTCTATATGCGTGCTTCGTCCCACTCCCGCCTGCAGTGGGCTGGTTACCCACCTGCTTCTGCACACAACACTGAAAATTAGTCCCGCACCACAAGATATTGTGTCGTGTCCAGGAGTGCAGACCTCTAGTATAGATGTTTTGAGCAGTTTGTTACTGTAAGAGTTTCTAAACATAGAAAAATTGTTGACTTTTGCAATGAGCAATCCGAGTTTTAAAAGGTTGTTCTGATGTACTGTCTTTGGCCTTTGTAGGACTGTTTCACTGTTGAAGGAGAGGATCTTAAGCACGACTTTGAGAGACTTCAGCTGGCCATGGAGATGGTGGGCTTCCTGCCAGCCACCCGTAAACAGTAGGCACAGCTAAACTGAGTGTTTTAAGCTAAGAACCATTGTGTAGTGTACCATTATATCAAGGACATTATTTTTAGCTTGAAGTACCATTCATGCAAAAATGTTTTTCTTCATAAATAAGCAAAGAGAAGCTTAAAACTGATGACGTTGCCAGATTACATTTGGATTGATCAACAAAATCATTAAAAAAAAGTTTTGTTGCTTTTAATTTATATAGATTATGAATTCAGTGAATTTAATCATATAGAAAAGCAGTTTTTTTAAAGTTAGTGGTTTACATATACAAATGATTAATCACCGAATCGTTAATGTCTCTGGCAGAATCTTCTCTCTGCTCTCTGCCATTCTGCTCCTGGGGAATATACGCTACAAGAAAAAGACATACAGGGATGACTCCATTGATATCTGTAACCCTGAAGTGCTTCCTACCATTTCTGAACTGCTTGAGGTAAGGTGCATGCTTATATTACAGATCATGTATTAACAAAATTGTATTTTACACTGTTAGAAATAAAAATACTGTGCAAGTACAATTTTCATTCAACAAGATACAAACAATATAAATGTACCCTCAAAGGTACAACAGTGGTTTTCAGGTCCAATTGTGTACCTTAAATAAGTTTTTTTCCCTGGTGAAAAGTACGTATTTGTATCTTTTCATAGCCTGATGTTTTAAAAAGATCAATAAAATAAAAAGCCTGGAGACGAGACGGGGTGTGTGAAGTCAATACAACTTAGAAAATATAATATGGTTTATGGTACAGTTGCGTTCCCTGACTAAAAGTACGGAGATGTACGGTGACAGTTTATTACTTTTATTTCTAAGAGTGTATCTAGCCCTCTTAATTTTGTTTACTCAGATTTTAGTTACAGAGTTGAATTTATAGGGAATGACTGTTTTACATGCAACATGTAATTTTATAATGCATTTGGCTCTTATGATGTTTTATAACGATCTTGGCATCATTTTGAAGCAATCACGGCTTATTGATGCTTAGATTTTGGCCATGGCCAGTGATTTCTCTGAAGGATTCTGTATAGACAAGGTTTTGCAGTGTCACGGCAATGAAATGTATGGATTCATTTAACATAATGGAGCGGAATGAATATTAATATGCTTTTGAGACATTTGTACAGCAGCACATCATTTTTAAATTCACCACAAGCTGGATGGCTAATACATTTTGGCATCTGTTGAGTTTTGCTCTGTAGACAGTTCATACCAGTGTGGTATTTAAAGCCTAAATGTCTGTTCCCCTTTTAGATAAATTGAATATTATTGGAACTCAAAAAGCATGTAGCTCTCATCTTGTCGAGACAGTTTTCTGAGTAGGTATTTTGATGTCGCTGGCTTTCTGACTGCAGATATTCACTCAGCCATTTCCCTACAAATCTCTCTGAATGAAGGACTGCTGTCTGGGCCACAAACAGACTTGACATCACATTTCCACAGTCACCTCATGATGGGCTGAAGAGCCAGAACATTACTGTGATTTTTCATAAATGTTACCTTACTTACTGAGAGGAGTTGTTTTTCCTTTGTTTTCTCTGCATTGGGTAGTTTGAGTTTGAATACATAAAAATAATCCCAGGTCCAACTTAATCAAACTCCGGTATGAAGTAATGAGGTATCTGAATGCTCAGCCAGCATGTTTCTTAGTTCAGTTCTGTTCCTCACTGTCTCTTTTGTCTGTCTTTTTCTGACTAGGTGAAGGAAGAGATGCTCTTTGAAGCCCTGACCACACGGAAGACAGTGACAGTGGGAGAGCGACTTATTGTACCATATAAACTGGCTGAGGTACAAAATCAAACAGCTTGTTTATGAACTCCTGCTGTTGAATTCTGTCCTCCAAAGTGCCCACTGTTTCTGATGTACTCAGTGACCATATATGTACACACATACCTGTTGTTTAGAGTTCTGAGGGGCCATACCTTTTGAATAAGATACTTCTTTATTTGTCGAGCCCCCAGCAGTGAATTGCCATTAGAAATGTGTTCACTGGTGTTTGTTGCTGTAGTTAACAAGTGCCCTTTTATTTTGCCTTTTTTTAAACAAAGGGAAGTCCCTTCTCAGCTTCCTGTCCTCCTGATTCAGCCCAGTCTTCTTGAGTGTTTGTAGATTCCTTAGTATAAAAAAGACAAGGATTGACCAGAACTCTTGCATTTTATGTCTCTGAACATTATAGAAGGGTCAGACAGTTCTAGAACAACTGGTTTATATTGTCTGGTTATGGAAGAAGGAATGGAAGGAGTTTAGGTTGGAAACAGAAAACTGCAAGAAAAAGGGCTTGACAACAATTTCAATTTCTAGTCAAAATGGCCATTAGGTACATGTTATTCCCATTAGGTACATGTTAAGCCCAGCAACTCAATAAACAGAATGTAGTTATTTTCTTATGAAAATAATTATTTTAAATCTGTTATCTTCAGTATCTCCTTTAGCCCTTTAGATGCTCTTGAGAAAACAATATGAAGGCAGCTAAGGTGGGTTTGGGTAGCTGCTTGTGTAAATATTAGTATCTCTTTGAACATAATGTCAGTGTCACCTTTGGGAACCTTTTGTTGGAAGGAGAATAAAACTTGCTGGTTTTTAGATTGGAAGACCGGAAGAGTTAAAGTGGCATTAGTGTGCGCAAAAGTAAACAGTGGACAAATTAATTACTGATATAGATGATATAGATTTGATATAGATAAGTTTTTATTCAATTATCTGTTAAATGTTTCCTGCTTTTTTATGACATTGACTTTTGCACAGTACTGCACACAAAAGAGTCCTATACTTAGACATAAATGCATGCTTACATATGTTTTTAAGTGTAGAACTCGCATACTATGTAAACACACATTCACACTCTGAATTTGATGTGACTCATAGTGTGCACAAGAGTTGCTGTTCTGGTCTTAGTAGTGTGTTTGTGCTGAGGCCTGTAAGTAAGTCACCCTAAATTTACCTTCTTGGGTGGCCTTTTTCTGAATTTAAACGTTTTCTGATTTGAAGTGTTTACTGACATGAGGTGTTTTGCCTCATGAAATGTAATTTGTGAAGGGAACCGTTAAAGTTTTTTCCCTATGAGTCCATCCAAAGTGCTTAACTTTTGATTTAAGTTTTGAAATCTTGAATTTACATGTTAAAAAAGCAGTAAAAAGAATGAATCATAGAGAGGGTGTTTTATGTAATGTTGGTGGGTGGATGTGGTAGATCTCGCTCCCAGAGTTCAGCTGAAAATAAGAGAGGAATCAATAATGCAGGAGGGAGGGAAGGCATGGTTTTACCCCTGTTTGAGCTTGAGGGAGTAGTCATGCTGTCCATATGCATGTGTCATTTTTTACCCCCTTAATAGTGCCATTATACTTAAAACTGCACAGACAGAAGCTGTTCAGGTTCACACACATGTAGAACCGCACATCAAAGCAAAATACAAATCTTCAGAGACTAGCCATACTTGAATTACCCTGGATGATCTCTGCTGACTTCTGAAAGACTTCACTGCACTTGGTCTTTACAGCTTTTTGACTCTCTACGGGCTTTGACTGCTCATCATCCTTTCACCTTGACCAGCCAGGCACAGCAACTTGTGTCCAAACTCTCATTTTAGTGTACATTTTTTAGTACTCCTTTCATCTTCTGTAAAAAGGGACGGTATGTTTTACTTCGGCATGTTGAAGCTCAGTAAATGGCTTGCTTGGCAGGCCATGTTTTATGGATCGATCAGCAATCCAAAAAGTGATTTGTGTGTCTGGATGCACTTAAAACTTCTGGCATCAGACCGATTTCTGGTTGGGAATCTGGCATCGTAACAGCAGGAAAGAGGAAATCACTAACACTTTACTCAGACCTACTATCAGAAAACCCATGTCCAAATGCTGTTTTAGACCTTGGTCTTATGGGTTTACTTAGTGTTAGAATTACAGTAGAAGTTCTGAAAGATAAAATTGGTCTAAACGTTACTTTAGACCCCATCGGTCAAGTATGTGGTCATGGTGTTTCTCTGACAGCTGCCTGGTGGATGGCTTAGCAGCCTGCTGAGAAGTATCTTTCTAATTTCTGTTCTTCTACATTACCTGTGCTTCATGGCGTAGGCTTGGAGCTGTTCTCTGTTTCAGAGCAAAATAGAAGTGTGAATTAAGTCACAGGAACCTGACCTTTTTATGGAAACTTAAAGATATGTTGTGGTTTTTGACACCTCCATTAACATTTCCTGCTTTGACACTCACAGGATAAAAGGAGAGACATTTATATTTAGGTACCAGTTATCCGTTTATGCTGTAGGTTTGTTATCATTGTTTTACATTTTCTCTCCTCTTAAAACCATTAATGCTCAAATCTCAATGAATAAGAACTGATCCAGGAATATTGTAATGGATTGAGTATAGTTTTAACTCAATCCATTACAACAATGTGATAAAATTCCAATCTTTTGTTTGTTTATTTGTTTATTTTACTCTATTTACACCACTGGAGTTGCCATAAACAGACACTTGCAACAGGGGGAACATTTTCAGAGATTTCCAAATGGTTTAAATGTCTGCAGTGTGGAACTATTTTAAAGTGGAAAATGAAAACTTTCTGCAGTGTCACTGCATGTCAGTGTTTTGACTGATCAAAAGACGGTGTAACTAGCCACACAAGACTATTATTATTTTCTGTATCTACATAAAAGTTACCAGTTTGAAATCTGTACCATTACATACATATCAAAAATTAAGTGATTGTAGTGCAGCTTTTACAGTAATTAGTGGCCAAATCATCTGATTATTTAATCAAAAGTCAGTATTAAACACACTATAAAAAAACACACCTTAAAGTAATTTGAAAAAAGCAAAATAAAATCACTTCAGACTGAGACATTATTCACATGGTAAAACGTTAACAGTAGCATAAACTTGCATCATAGAATATAAACGGTGCATGTACTTGTGTACTATAAACCATGCTTCAGTAATAAGCGTGGTGTGTTGTGTGAGTTGAATGCGTCAGCACATTGTATCAGAATCTTATGCCGCTAGTAAGAGATCAAACACATGCACATGTACACACCACGGAGACAGACATTTGGGCTCTGCACAAATGTTAGAAATAATAACTGTGTTACACGTGTTTGTACATTTCTCTGCTATTAAACAACCTCAGTGCACACAGCAGATTATGTAGTAACTCAGCCTTTTGATTGGACCATATTGACACATGTATCTGTCTGTGTTATTCTAGGCTGGGACAGTGAGAGACTCTATGGCTAAATCTCTCTACGGTGCTCTCTTTGACTGGATAGTCTTCCGCACCAACCACGCGCTTCTTAACAACAAAGACCTGGAGGACTCTGCCAAGGTAGGACCTTCCTTAATTAATTTCTGTTAATGAACTAATATAATAGTGATGTAATATAACACCAACCTGGTTGAAAGGGAGGAGATCAAATAGTTAGTAGTGTGATAAACCAAGATGCGAAAAGGCCTAGTGCTCCATGACAAGATGTTGTAACAAACTAGTCAGTAAAGAGAGCCAAGGAGGCTGAATTTCCCTGGTGATGGCTGTGATTTTACTAAGCATGGCAGCAGCTGATGGATTGGATCTAATTCATTCCTTTCCTTTTTCCTTTCTCTCACAAACTAGTGAATTTTGTATGTGTGTGTGTGTGTGTGTGTGTGTGTGTGTGTGTGTGTGTGTGTGTGTGTGTGTGCGCGCATATGTGCGTGTATGTGGGTGTACTGTGGCAGCTGGCGAGTCATGCCCAGTGGGTATCCAGTGGATTAGACCATTGCTCCTCCCCTGTAAGGGCGGTGTTTGTGGTTGTTTGTCTGTCTTTCTGTGGAGTAGGCATCATGCCCTCTTTTGTTTCTGTAGTTACACTACAGAGCTCAGCCTTGTGATTTCTCTTTTGTGATTCCCATCATGCAAGTGAAGGCGTAGGCATGATATGAGAAAAAACGGTATTACATCAGTCTGTCTGCAGCTGTTTTATCAGCCAAGCAGTTTCAAAAATATATTGTTCAAATGTTTGATTTCAGATCAATTTTAAAACGTAGGAAAAACATTACAGAGCCTGTGTTCAACATGTGTACTATTTATTAACATTTTTTGTTTTTTAAAGTGTCTGTTCGCAGTTATTTGAGCTTATCACAGTTCTTTAAGGTGACTGCAGTTGTTTTTCACAGTTCCCAATCATTTGTTTACATCGGTACAAACAGAACTGAATTGAACGAGTTTTTAACAGTTGGGTTGAGACAAATGCATATAAATAAGAGAAAGAAGAAAATGCATTTACTGAGACACATCATGGGTCTGACTTGGCATTGTAACACGTAACGTCTTCCAGATAAGGAACGTAAATGTTGTTTATGTTGTTCATCTGTTAAAGGGATATGTATGTGTTTATTATGTTGTTCTGTGTCAGGGAGTGGGTTTAGTTAGTGTGAGTTGATGGTCACTGTGAGGGTGAAGTGTATGGTCAGTGATGACCTCCCTCACAAGTTCAGTGCTTCTGTATGTGCAGTCCTGGCCTGCTGTTTAATAAAGAGCACTTTAGTAGAATCATAGCCTGCCCTGTGTCTTACCTATGTCAACACTACAATAGAATTTAATTATCTTTTTGAAAAATAAACATTAAATTGTTAATCACAGTTATTTTAATGGCAGTTAGTTTAGTAAGTTGATCAGTTAATGGCCATGTGATCTTACGGTCACATGATTTAACTGAAACCTGAAGGTGGTGATCTATGGTAGGATAGTATTATTATTATTATTATTATTATTATTATTATTATGCATTATTTACTTATTTTTGTACAAAACTGTTCCGTTCGCATTCAAGTTTGGTTTCATTATATTTGTTTTATTTATTTAAGGAAAAATACTGTTTTAATGCAGTGCTATGTTTGGTTCCTCTTCCAGATTCTGTCCATTGGGGTGCTAGATATCTTTGGGTTTGAGGACTATGAGAACAACAGCTTTGAGCAGTTCTGCATCAATTTTGCCAATGAGAGACTGCAGCACTACTTTAACCAACACATCTTCAAACTTGAGCAGGTGTGTAGCCCCCTCTCTCTCTCGCTCTCACTTTCTCTCTACAGGTCATCATGGTTGGGGTCTGTAATTAATGGAAAGCAGAGGCGGTGGAGCCCTGTGCTGTCTGTGTCCTGCTGGTCTCTAATCTCTCACACAAGTGTTCTTGCCATGCGGGGAACAGCCACATGACCATTCTCTGACGCAGCCTGTCTCTGAGCTTACCTAATGCAGTGGCCCACTGCTGCTAGTGAAAGAGAGCTAATAGCTCCAGTGGTCCAGAGGCCTTACTATATGAGATAGGGCTGGGAACTAGTATGATTTAACTAAGTTTCTGTTGAGATCAGACATAACAATGTCACACCTTCAATCAAAACATTTGTAACGTTTGCCCTAAAGACTGAGTTAAGTTGTGGGCTCACCTCAAATCAGATTTTTAAACAATGCGAAAGTCTTTTAGATCTCAAAAAATGATGTAGTCTGTACTTTGTTGCTGTATTACAAGTGGTAACAGTGACAGGAAAATCACCTCAGTGTATGTTCCGTTGTCTGGTGAACAGATGACATAATTGCTCTAGCTTAGCAGTGATTCAGCTGGTATTGCCTTTTTAATATCAGTTAGTTCTGATGGAACTGAGAATGTTTTGCTTACTGAAGCTGGTTATCCTTATAACTTTATTTGTGGTGTAACTCCAAAGTTCTGTGAATGTGAATGAATATTTATTCAGTAATTCTCTGCCATTGTATCACTATTATCAGTGTTAACTGTTTTTGTCCTCATAAATAATTATTTTCTTGAAGTTCTTGTGTCTCTTTGGGACTAAGTTCTGACAGGCCATTTATGGCATTGTTGAGTTTTTTGCTTGTATTTCTTTCCTCACTGTGCTGATAAGTTTGCAAACAATGCCTTAGGCGCTGCACCCACCCCGTAACTCTGTGCTGTTACGTGCAGCTCATTGCGTAAGCTAGATCTGATGGCTTTCATTTTTAATTCACTTCATACAAAGTTTTCTGTGATAAACAGTAGACTTGTGTATACAAAGTGTGTTGTTAAAAAGTTCAAGCTTTATTACTCTGACGGCTTACTTGTAAATTTGTATGTACACCATCTCACCCACTCTCACTTGATGTGAGAAACTGCAGAATAAGTGTTGTGGTCCATCCATGAAGTCTTGAACTTTCTTTATGAGGCATTTAAAATATAAAGCCACGCCTAATACATTGTGTGTCTGTGTTTCTGTGATGAGGTCACCTCTGAAAGTGCCACACCAATCTTTGGTTTACAATTCAACAGTCAGAAGTTCAAACTTTTATTATTTTAATTTTGGCAAAGCTTAGACCTGTACTGCATAATATATTGTTTGTTACCCATTATTGCAGTACTGGCCTTTGCAAAATTGCTAATGCAATACATCAGCCCTTTAGAAAATCATAACTTTTTTTATTATCCTGCCATTATCCTGCGAAATATCCAGTTGTTTCAGATAAGTGTTTTGAAGGAGTTTTGATGACCCAACATGTGATCCAACAGACATAACATAATTCAGACTTTTTTTTAAGCATGATAGCATTAGGGGTTCATTAATGTGTTTATACTAGAGTTGTCAAGTTAACATATTAATAATGCATTAACGCAATAAATGATTAACACCAATTTTTTAATACTGTTAATGCTTTTTCCTAGTTCCTAGTGCCATCTGTAGTTCCAGCCTGAAACCTCACTGCTAGCGTGCTATTTTGCTGTGAAATACAGCTTTTAAATGGCAAGTAATTGTAACTGCCCCAGTAATTTTATCACCTTTTATTTCTGAGAGCATACATGTTCTCCAAATAATGTAACCCTGGTGTAGAGTGTTAGGTTCATATTATTTCAGTGCCATGTTTGCTATCATGGCCTGTCTTTGCAATGCCTCTGTTGTTCTAGCATTTGCCTCATTAGCGTTAGCGTCAGTTGTTAAATGAAGCATGAATGAGTGAGGAGATTACTTTTAATGGCTCTAATCAGATCAGACACCTATCACTTCTGCCTTCAGCCTACAGTTTCATGAAGCTACATACCACACTATACACACTAACACTGCATAATAGAGTTGGAGTCCTGAGGCTTTGAGGCATAAAGACTGTGTTTCATTGTCTTGTTGGCTGTAGTCTGTGGTTAAAAGGAGAGAGTGAGGGAGAGAGAGAGAGCGAGGGAGAGAAAGAGAGAGTGTGCGTGTGCGTGTGTGTGTGTGTGTGTGTGCGTGTGTGTGTGCGTGCGTGTGTGTGTGTGTGCGTTTGTGTAGTTTAACTGTCAAAGGCGTTCGCATTCTCTACCATAAGTGTTGTCATTAACCAGTGATGCTTTATTGTCTGCCACATATGGCACTGTGCTGTGCTGTCAGCTCAGCTCCTGTACTGTGATCTCAGCTCAGCTTCCTCTGCTTCCATTCTGAACAGCACTGAACAAAAGGAGAACGTAATGTTCTTCAGTTTACGTTTTAGCAGGTAAAACTTACGCTTAGTGATTTAGCAATAAGTGCAGGAGTTGTACCAGCAAAAAAGTGAATACCGGTATGACCGCTTAGACCTTATATACTAACTGCACATAGCAAGCAGCATAGTAGCACAGCATCAGGCACACGCAAGACGCAGATCTATTTTTTGCTGCTTGCCATGTGCAACCTGCAACCAGAAGGGATTGATATAAGAGCAAAAGAATTAAAGAAACTGCAGGCTTTGTCTACCACTTTGTGCCATGTTGGTGCAGATTATTTCTTTGCCATTGTTTTTTTTTTCATTCTTTTGTTGCACTCTGTTTAACATGGCAAATATAACATTACCTGTTGTCCAGGAAATGGAAGGATGAATCAACTACAGAGTGCTAAATCAAGTTGAGGATGAGACAAAAACAAACTGGAGGAGAGGTTGTAGGAGAGAACAACTAAGAACTAGCACTGAAAAAAAGAGAAGAAGGACATGATAATAATTTAAAAAAATGTAGATAATAATAAAACTGGTCTCACTTTATTTGGATGGTCCACTATAGTCCCCTATAGATTATCTACACATGCTCAAATTGTTAACAAACTATCTGTTGGTGGTGTTAGGGTTAGGACCAGGGATAGGGCTAGGACCAGGGTGAGGGTTGGGTTAAGGTTTTGGGTTGAGGCTAAGGTTAGGGTTAGGATTAGAGCCAGGATTAGAGATAAAGAAAATTGTGGTCAGTTTAGTAGATATTTAATTGAATGTGACTTGAAAGTAAATTAAGTATCTACAAAGCATCGAAAGTGGACTATCCAAATAAATTGTTGCCATAATACTACTACTACTACTACTACTACTAATAATAATAATAATGTGATGCACTGCATCCAGCATTGTCAACTGATGTCTGTGCTGACTAACACAGGAAAGCAGCAGCATTTTAAATCACTGTTTCTCATTTTCATTACCATTAGAATTGTTTATGAAGTGTTAGATTTGAACAGTTCTTTGTACGCCTATTTAATCTTTAGTCTTTTTGGTCAAAAGTTTTTGAAGGCTCAAATTTCAGTGCATCCCTAGTAATGATGACTGTTGTTGTTGTTATTATTAATATTAATTTTTCATTAATCATGGTGAAGGAGATGACGTTTAGGGTTCTCAGGAATAACAATAAACAACAATCAAATGGAAAAAGTTACAGAGCAGTAGCAAAGACCTTAAACCTCCCTGTCAGAACAATTGGTTTGAAAAGAAGATGGACTTTTTAACAAGACAAGGCCCCCAAACATACAGCCAAAATAATTTAGGACTGGCTTCTTAAAAAGAAGGTGAATGTGCTTGCATGGCCTTGTCATCTTCTTATTTGAATTCCACTGAAAATCTGTGGAGTATTTTAAAATTGCAAGTCCGTCAGAGGGACCCCTCGTAAACTTGGGGAATTGAGGATGATTTGCCAAAAGGAATGGGCCAAAATTGAACCACAATGCTGGAAAAAGCAAAGTACTTCTTACTGCAGATGTCTCAAAGCTGTAACTGCCAACAACGGCTTTTCAGCAAAGTACTAATAAGTTATTTATTTGTGCTGTCTGGATATTTTTTCCCATGTTTCCTGTTTTTAAACCTATCTTTAATTATGAGTACTTCTTTCCCATTTCTGCATAAGTTTAATACCAAAAGACATTGTGTTTGTAAATTTGTTGTGGGTATATGAACTGGAAGTTTTTAAATAACAAAAACAAAAGTGTCTCATCACTGTCTAAGGCATGTTTCAACCTGCCGTTTTATTTTGTGGCACAATATAAGGTAGCCAGTCAAAACGGATGTCATTTACAGCCTAAAGTTACAGCAAGAAAAGCCTGTTTAAATCTAAGAGATAAAGGGAGACTGAAAATGCTCATGAAAAATGAATTATGACTGTAATAAGTGAACTCATGTAAAATATATGCCTTTAAATTTCACCCATTTTAAAGTATTAAATAAAACCTGAGGTAGACCTGTGAGAAGAGCAAGTCTCACATTCCACCCATCTAACAAATGAATTACGTTAATTCTGACATGGAAAGATGTAGTTATACATGGGGCAATAGATTCTACTGCAGAAACATCAGACTACAAAAGTCATCCTACTGTGGGTAACACCGGAACAACCACTCTGTGTGTGGCTGCCTCTGCAGGGAATGTTAACCACACTGCCTTCCGTATTATTTTGAGGCTGATTGTGTGTTCACATACACATGTATACGCATCTCTGTGTGGGTGTTATTATTTGTAAACTTAATTGTCATGATGGTTCTTTTGAATAGACCTGTGGGTTCTCTCAGTGACTGGAGGAATGTAACAAAGTGTTTAACAGTTTCAGTAGATAGTGTAGGAGGAGGAGTGAACATCATGCTTTTTCATTCTCTCTATTTTTCTGTCTCTCTCTCTCTCTCTCTCTCTCTCTCTCTCTCACACTCACACACACACACACACACACTCACACTCACACACTCTCTTATCTAAGGCAGTGTGTACCCTTTGAGCAGTCGCCAAAGCAAATACACAGAACTCTCTGCTGCAGGCTGCAGGGCCTTAGTCCAGTGTTTACACTCCCAGTGCCAATCGCTCCTTAATTTGGCCTTTTTTTTCCATGCTCCACTGCTGTGCATTACCAATAGACTGACATGCTGAGAGTTAACTGCCCTTTCACTTTTCACCATCATCCAGGAGAACTCAAATACCTTTGAAGATTGGGACTATTTAACTGTGATAGCATACATTTCTTCATCATTTATATAAGATTATATAAATTAATTGTGTGAGTTTCTTTATGTCAGAGACCATAAATTGCTGAACAGTTCTGTGCACTGTACTGTCAGAGACCTTTATTTATTTCATTTCAAGTCAAAACAGCAAGTTAATTTTTTAGCTTCTGGAAAAGTGAAGAAAACGTATATTTAACAGAAATATACACTTTTATATACCTTGTATCCACAAAACAACAACTAAATATAATATTAAAAATTTCAGTACCACCCTTTTCCTTTATTACAGCTTCCATTCGTTTCAGGAGATTTGCTTTCAGTTTTTCAAAGAAATCTGCAGGGACGTTTTTCCTCACCTCTAAAGTTCGGTCTTAGAAGTTGTATTGTCTGCTTCTCAGAATCCAAGCAATCCCAAACACATTCAGCAATGTTGAGGTCTGGACTCTGGGGTCTGTTGTTCTGAGAACACCAGCAGCCTTTTTGCTTGATTTGCAAATGCTCCTCTTTTTAGTCGGCATCTTGACAGCTACACATCCTTTCTGACCCATAGTGTTGAGACTTTTTAATTCCTAGATATTTTTGACAAAATCTGATTTGTCTGATTAGTTAGGTGCATGACCAAACACAAAAAAATCTCGAGGGCTAGTGGACACTCAGGCTCTCCATTTTTAGTGACCAAAAATGTGAAATGTTGTGGCCAAGGGCACGGGCCAATAGATAATGACTTTTCCTTTCCTAATGCAAGTAGATTATTTGATCTCATCCGAAATATCTCCTAAAAAATAAGTAACTTGTACTTAATTGCTGTTTTGACTGGAAATTGAATAAATTGGTCAATGAAATAATTAAATAAAAGATTGGTCTGAAGATTGGATTTTTGCGTAACACTGTATGTCACTATTTTAACATTGCTTGATGTCACTTGACTTTTGGTCACAGAGCCTTATTGGTAGGGGCCGCAGAGCTGCTGGACTGTGAGGCGTATCACTTGCTAAGCTTCACAGCCCCTTATGTTCTGCTCACCCACTCAATTAACCACAGGTCCTGTCTTTGTTAGTTAGAGTTTAGTCTACTTCCCCTTACCAGTTTGGCACCCAAGGCACATAGCAAATCACACCATGTCCTGTTTCCAGAGTTTCTCATAGGCATCTATGCTTCATTCTGTGTGTACAGGAGGAGTACCGTGCGGAAGGCATCAGCTGGCATATGATTGACTACATTGACAACACAAGCTGCATTAACCTCATTAGCAAGAAACCCACAGCCCTGCTTCACCTACTGGACGAGGAGTGCAAGTAAGTCTGAGTCTTGTTCATAAAGCTGGATAAGACGCTGTGTTAGAGCAGTAGTTTTTAATTTTGGACCTGGAGTATCACTGTCCTGGACATTTTAAGAGTTTCTCCTGCTTCCAGTACACATAATTCAACGAGTGAACTAATTAACAACCCTTTCTTGGGTTGACTGGGTGTGTTAGAGCAGGAAAACTCTAACACGGTAGTGGTTAGGGGTGGGAGGAAAAATCGATTCTTAGATGCATCGCGATGTGGACATGGACGATTCTGAATCGATTCACAAATGTCAAAAATCGATTTTCTAAATATTTAATTTATAACATAATGTTGACGGAATGCAAAAGGTGGAACTTGGAAGTGCGGAAGTGCAGCGCCCAGACGCTCTGTGACGTGCACATAACAAAAACACCGCTGGATGAGCGAGAAATCCGACTGACAGCCTCTGCATTAAAAGCCAGGTTAGGTCAGGAGTCGACAATCCAAATGTTAAGAAGAGCCATTTTGTCCTTTCAACAAAAATCAAACCACTGTGGGAGCCACAACATTTTATGTCCAGTATGTTTCAGTATGTGCAGACTTACTTTGCTCTGCTTTAAGCTTTAGCTATAGCCGCTTTCCTTCCATCTCCGCCAGAAAACTTTTCCTCAAAAGTAGAACGGTTTATTGTAAAATGTCTCTCAACGTTCGACTGTTTTACAAGGCTGAAGTCACTTCTTGTTCGCCAGCTTCTTGTCTGAACGGGAAAATTCAAAAGAGAAGCTGACTTCAGCCTCACAACTTTTTAGTGTTTGACAGTCTCTCATTGCAGATTTAATGTTCCAGTAAACCAACTGCACTGCTTATAAATGCGAATAAGTCCATTCATCTCCAAATGTTCGTCTTAAATCTCTCTCTTTGCCTTTTAATTCGCTACTAGCTAGGCGAGACTGTCGTTGAGAACCAGGGCTTTCGCGCTATGTTGCACACTTTGGAGCCGAGATACAGCGTCCCTTCTCGAAGATATTTTACTGACATAGCAATTCCCAACGAGACCAAAACTGAAGTTACAAAATCAAAAAAATATAAAAGCAAACAGGTAGGACAGCTGTAACGTACTACGTGGACATCTGTTGCCACTGGATCTTATGTCACCGTAACTGCGCATTTTATCGTGGATGAGTGGCAGCCTGTGTCCTGAGTCATGTACTCCAAACAAGAGCAGTGAATGAGAGTCTTCTAGTTCACTTGCCATATCACTTCTATTTGTTTTAGTAATAACAGATACTGGAAGTAAATTCATTATGGATCATTACAAATACTTTGCTTTAAAAGTACCAAGTCCTCACACAGTGAGAGAAAAAATATATAGTATAGAAAAAAAACATGCATCAAGATGCATCAATAATCGTTTTATAATCGCATCATAGCCCTCATAATCGAATCGTGATGTACCTAGAGATTCCCACCCCTAGTAGTGGTACTACAGAACCTGGATTGAGAACCACTTTGTTAGAGCCATATAAAATCCTGATGTGTAAAGAAATGGCTGCTAATGGGCCATCACATTACAACACAGCTCAGTGATCTCCATGGTGACGGTGAGTGTAGAGCTGGAGCTGTATTTTAAATGCCATTTCATCATAAGTGGGCTGTTCTGAGGAGGCAGTGTCAAAGATCAGTGGATGCAAGAGCAAAATTTAGTCCACCTTCACAACATATGCCTGTATCAGTTTTATTCTGTGGCACATAATCAGATCAACATGAACACCAAAAATAAACCCAGATCAGCACATAAATATACCATAAATAGCAACTAAAAGACTGATGAATTTGTGTAGTACATTGACAGAATTTTCTCTGTCTCTGTAGCTTCCCCCAGGCGACTAACCAGACCCTGTTGGATAAATTTAAGAGGCAGCACGAGGGGAATAGCTACATTGAGTTCCCTGCAGTAATGGAGCCAGCTTTCATCATACATCACTACGCTGGCAAGGTCAAATACAGCGTCAAGGTAAGATCCTGATCCATGAGTTGTTGGCCTACTACTGTCATAATCTTAATTACTGTTAATTGGATTTGTTTTGATGGGATTGTAAATGATTTGAAAATTGTTTGAGAGTCTAGTCTTCATAGTCAGTGTGAAGACCTGTGTGTGCTCGTGTGTGTAAGAGAGAAATGAAACAAACACACACACGTACATACTGCATCCACTGACCTAATTCTGTCTTCTAATCTGATTGGTTGGATTTGCCACTAGCTGCGATTTTATTTGAAGCACATGTTTGGCAGAGGGGGGTCTAATTCATAGGCTACCCCCTTTTCCTAGCAACACCTACTATACGTCTGCATAACACATGCACACAGCATCACTGCTCTCTCACACACAAAAACGCAGAGCTCCCCTTCTGTTACCGCTTTCTTTGCGCTGGCACTAATTCATATCTTTGTTGTCATATTTTTGCTTGTTTGATTTATTTGTTTGTTATTGCTGGAGAGTTTTATGCTAAATGCCCTGTGTGTTACAAGCAGCCAGCAACAGTATTAGCAATGCACACACATGTTGGATTTAAAGCCATGAAGAGAATAAAGATTAAATTACTGCTGTTAATCCAGTCTGTCAACAGAATGTATGTGTGTGTGTGTGTGTGTGTGTGTGTGTTACATCAGTGATGTTAGCATTTACATTTCCTCTTAGCAGATGCTTGCCTGTAATGGTAACAGAATTCTCTTATTTGTATAACCATTTGGAAAATGGTTAAACCGGTTTCCTGGAGGCGGGTATAGTTTATCTTTGCTTTACCTTTTATTTGGCAAAGATTAAGCTTCAGCTCACATTACTTTGCTCCTGCATTCACTTTAGAGTTAGGAACCATCTCAAAACTACTGGAAGACAAAGTGTTGTTGTTGTTACTGTTTATATTGTAAGCTCATCAGCTAATGTTTTCAAGAAGATCACTGATGTTATGTCCAGAAGCATCAGGGGATGTATTTACAGAGATACTACTACTGCTAATAATAATTAATAATAATAATATACTTTAGTAAAAGTTGTGATTGTAGTATATTGCCATCTTTTGGCCACAATCTGTAATTAATCTAGTAATAAAGAAAGGAATAGTAAATTTCAGAGCGGCTTAACCGTTCAATGCCATAATGTCATTAGCTGCTTAGCTTAACTTGATGTATGAGAGCTGAGACAGGATAGTGTGTTTTCTAAGACCTGAAGCTGTTTTTTTATTTGATATATGACACTGTGGTGTAATGGTGTCCTAAATTGTTCATGGTACCAAATAGACAGCTTTTTGTGCAGGCATAACGTGCCTTTATTGGTGAACTTATTCAACCAGCACAGCTCAACAGCCGCATTTACTGAAGAATCTCATCTGTTAGGTACAGTACATGTGGCATTAATGTAGGATATCACACCACCCAGTGTGTATAAAAATTCAGTTATGTTTACATTTTGGAATACTAGTGTCTTCCTATGGTGGCATAAATGTATTAATTTGTGAAATATATCAATAAATGAACAATTTTTAATCTTTTTTTAATGGACTTGTAACTGGCAGCTGTTTCTGTGCTAACTCTGTTATCTGTAGAAGGCAACAAAATGTGCACAATTAGAGGTGCAAAGCAGGGTCCTTTGAGTACTCATAATCTAATCTTTGTCTTTTTTTCCCTCTCTTCCTGCGCAGGACTTCAGGGAGAAGAACACAGACCACATGCGTCCGGATATCGTGGCTCTGCTGAAGAGCAGTAAAAGCGCCTTTATCTGCGGCCTGATGGGAATCGACCCTGTGGCCACTTTCCGCTGGGCTGTGCTCAGAGCATACTTCAGAGCAGTGGTGGCATTTAGAGCAGCTGGCAAACGACATGGGGAGAAGAAGAGTGGTGAGTCCATACAGGCACAGACACACTCTCACAGACACGCTTGTGGAGTTATATACATGCACGCTGATCAGTACAATGAATCCTGCAGCACAGTTTTGCATTTCCCTGCTCAGAGCTAACAAGTGCTTCCTGGTGCTGACTGGCAAAAATAGAAGCGCTAATGTAGTTGTAGCCCCCATGGCGTCAGAAGGGAACCAGTTTTTCCACGTAACATGTCTTCCCAAATGCTCTTCATGATTACGTGAGCTTCACTGCATGATCCGCGATGCAGTTCTTTTTATTATTCATGGCCACAGAGACTATGAGGATGTTCTGAACCGTTTAAATATGCAAAGAACAGCTAAGCAAGATATTTGTGGATGTGCTGTGTCACAAAGCTACCATGAAGCACACTCCAAAGTGTCACATCCATCGTGGTGTCTGTCATTATTGCTTCTAAAATGTAAGTGCTGACATGAGGTTGTTGATGGCTGATTGATTTTCTTCTCCTTTCTTCTTGTGCTAGGTTCCGATTCTGCAGTGCAGTGTACAGTCATTAAAAGTGTGGATAGCTTTAGTTTCCTGCATCACCCAGTGCACCAGAGAAGCCTTGAGATCCTTCAGAGATGCAAAGATGACAAATACAGTAAGACCAATCATTTCCTTTATTCAAAGTGGTCCGCCCTCCAGTAGGAATTGAGGGGAATGGAATTAGTGACTTAATATATGACTGAAAATTGCCAATTCCATGATGCTCTAACCCTGCTCTATGATCCTCTTTGTTATTGTTAGTAAGACCAAAAGAGCATTCACAGGAGTTCACACAAAGGGACAAACATTAATGACAGTCTCATAATGTAATAGACTTCTCATTATACACTATTAATTTCTCTGAATGGCATTAGTAATAAAACTATTGTTAACCTGACAACATATTATTGATAATAATTGTTGTTTTGAACTGGGTCTGATTTAATTACACGCCTTTTTTTCATTTCTTTCTTTCTTGTTTGTTGTTTTGTGATCACTGCAGAGCATACTGTAGCTGTCAGCACTGTGCAGATAGAGACAGACAGTTACTGTAGAATCTGCGTGTTTAGGACAGTGGCCACACAGTGTTAGAAAGATTTGCTCTAGTGTATCTGCTGCTGGATCTAGGCAGGAATTTTTCACAGGAAATGACTTATGTGTCAGATGGCAATGGACACAATGCAGATCACCCCCTGAAACACGAAGGTCATGCACTGTCTAGAGCTGTTTCCTCCAGACAGTAGGCCTCACCCGTGTTTTCAGATTTCGGACTTTAGTTTCATTAGTGTACCTGAATGTTTTGTTTACAAGTAGGCTAGTGGTTGGTGGCTACATGAATAAAACTGAATTGAATCTGATCTGCAATGGCTGTTGTACCAGGGTCATGAGTAATATAGGTAATGTCTCTTTTAAAACAGATTCCTGCATCACACGGAAGAACCCGCGCAGCCCTCTCTCAGACTTACAGGGCACAAACGCTATCAATGAGAAATCAACCAGGTGGGCCAGCCTGAAGTGGACAGACAGAACTATCTGTGTCGTCCTATAGGCTTTTCATATTATCAAATTGTCCATAACCTACATGTGTCGTGTATTTTATTTTTATCCTTGGAGGCCCATTTATAATATTTGTGTGGTTTTATGTTCCAAAAACAGTCATGATACATTTTTCCAACCTGTCTTTATCCCTTAGAATAAGCTGTTTTTGATATTTTGCCTTTAAGACTGATATTTGCTAATGAGCTCTGCTCTGAATGGCTGCCCTGTGTTGCACCTCATTCAGAAAGCTGGCTGAAAAAGTCCTTGTCAACATTGAATTCAAAATAGGCTGTTTTTGCAGTTTAGTTTACCTATATTGACTGTATGGACTGAGGAGGAATAATGCATTTTGAAACTTTAACAATGTTTACATACTGCATCAAACTTTTTTATTTCAAGAAAGTGAGGAAAAATCAGTTTTCTATGATATGGGCCCTTTAATCAGAATTACATGTATTGAACATGCTACTGCTAAAGAGCATTTGATAATTACTCTTGCACACAGACAAAATCATTAATCCCTTTCTCCCCTGTTCTCAGAGACGGGTTCTCTGGTTGTAATGGCCGTAGCTCAAGGCCTGGTCGTCTGTCCTCAACTGGTTTCTCTCATGAAGAAGATGGTATATTTGTCAATGCCATGAGCAGCAAGCTGCTGGAAAGAGCCCAGGGCATTCTGATGTGAGTCACGGTTTGTCCTTTACTGTGGAAGTTTACTATGTAAAATTTCATAAGTGTGTATTTAGTGATTGATGTCAAGCCTCTTCTTTGTAGGCGGAACAAGAACTACAAGGCCAAGCTTTGCCTGCCCAAGGTACAGCCTCAGTACAAGCAATCACATCTAACCACATTAGTACATATTTCTGCATGCTTTCATCCACAAGAATCATTTTCTTTGACACTAAACTAAGTCTATGCTCTGCTGAATATCAGATTTGATTTTGGGATGGTGCCAATGCACTGATGTATTTGTTGGTTTATTTACTGCCATTTGCTCTGCGTGCAGCACCTGTTAGATGTGAAATCCCTAAAGTACCTGAGCAGCCTGACACTTCATGACCGCATCACCAAATCGCTCCTCCACCTGCACAAGAAGAAGAAGCCTCCCAGCATCAGTGCACAGTTTCAGGTCAGGCCACACATCTAGCCTCATCTCCCTCTCTGCATAGCCATATTCATTAGGATACAGAATGGAAAAGACTAATTCTGGTCCAGCACTGTATTTCTAATGGCTTAAGGTCTCCCAGAAATTACAGAGTACAGGCTATGTCCTGAGCCTCTCTAATCTGGCCTTGGAGTTTTTGATCAACTGAAAAAACATGAAAAGTCACTGTGCAAGAGATTTTATAATGTTGTGTATTTTTCTGTCTTTTGTGTTGCAGGCCTCCCTCAACAAACTGATGGAAACCCTGGGCCAGTCAGAGCCCTACTTTGTGAAATGCATCCGCTCAAATGCTGAGAAGGTACTAGTAGCCTTGGATTTTGTGATGCTAATGATTGCATCATTGTTTGATGGGTTAGTGAAAGTTTGAAGACACAGTATTCACATCTGTCTCTTGCTGTCTCTATGTATTAGCTTCCTCTGCGCTTCAATGATGTGTTGGTACTGAGGCAGCTGCGGTACACTGGTATGCTGGAGACAGTGAGAATACGCCAATCTGGATACAGCGTCAAATATACCTTTAAGGTATGATATGACATACACATACTGTCAAAGGGGCATGTTGGGCTCAGCTGCTAGCGAAAATCTTTGAAATCTAGGTTCTCCGAAAGGCTGAACTTTGTTGATTTGTTTCTTTGCCTGTCTGTAGGACTTTGCCCATCATTTCCATGTGCTGTTGCCAGATGGCATCAGTGCCAGTCAGGCTAGTATTCAAGACTTCCTGCAGAGAGTCGACCTTGACCCAGATGGTTATCAAGTGGGCAAAACCATGGTATCGCTTTTTCTTCTGTTTTAGTGAGAGTTGTATTCACACAGTGAGACAGTTATTCACAATTCATAATGTGCTGTTTTGAGTTTTTTAAATGGTATGTTATAGTGGTGTATAAGAGAACCAGGGGACACTAACTTGACATCAAAGTTTATCTCTTCTGACGCTTGTAAATGCAGTAATTCTTGAATTAATGTTTAAAACCTCCCTGTCTCTATCTCCTTCCTTTTTCACCTCTCTCACTCAAGGTGTTTTTGCGGGAGGCACAGAGACAAAGGCTACAGGACCTGCTCCATCAGGAGGTGCTGAGGAGGATTGTGGCTCTGCAGAGGAGGTTCAGAGCTCTGCTGGAGAGGCAGCTGTTCATCAACCAGAGACGTGCTGCACGTGTCATACAGGTACACAGGAGCTTTGCTCCCAAAGCTTGTCCTCCTTATTTCCAAGGAACATGACATTCCATGGCATGTTCCCAGTGAGTTGAAGTTTTTAAAAAACTGAGCGTAAAGTTTATAATTCACATTGCAGGTTATAGAATATAGCAACTGAAGCTGGCCTCAAATGGGCTCTCCTGTGCTATAGGAGGCCACATAGATGCCGCAAAAATAACTGTCTAAGGCTTGTAGTGGGACAAAGCATGAACAAGCAAAATCGGTTTGTCACATCTGTTGGATGAAAAATAAAGAGGCAGACAAAGAGGCTCAAAACACAGTATTTGGCTAGAAATGATCACATTGGTCAAATAGTGATGGCTTTGGCAGTTTTAATCTTTCTGAGGTGTAACTTTCCTTCCATTGGTTAAATAAACTTCTTTGTGTGTGTATGTGTAAAGAAACTGGCAAATTGATTCTTAACGTTTAATTCATTAACGTAAATATTTTCTGTTTGGTGGAGAAGTGGATCACACCAGTGCTACTGTATGTGTGTGCACATGCATCTACAAGTGTGTGTTTTCCCTGCAGTCGGTTGTTTCTTCTACGTCTTTGGGCTGAGAAATAGACACAAAGACTTATAAAATGTGCAAAAGACTTCAAAAGTGTTCTCAAATTGACATTAATATTTTATGACTGGTTTATTTGATTTAGTCATACAGAAGAAGAGGGAGCCTATTTCTCTTCAGGTCTTTTCATTTTCATTTTCTTGTTCTTCTGCCAAGAGCAATTTAGACTTTAAACTTCAGTGATGCAGAGAGGTGCTGTATTTTAAGTCTCCAGTGTATTATTTGGTGATACAGAGTTAAATGTGTTTACTGAGTGTTTTTCATACATTCTGACCTCTCTTTGTTAAACAAATGCTGTTCTGTGTTAATATATTCATAAATATGTAGATGCATTATGGAAAAAACAGTCAGAAACACATGCACATACAGTGTTTGTTGTTTTGGCTCTGTACTCCAGCACACAGTACTTGAAATGAAACAATATTAAGAGGACTGTGTGTAAAATAGGTGGTAATTCCTGTATGCTTCACCCAGTATAAATGTAAATACTCTTGAATTAAAAGTGTCATTCAGCTTTTTTGCTCCATTTCAAATCAAGTTTGTCAGAGTACAAAGCCCAAACAACAGAAATTGTCGCTGTCTAATTTTTTACTTTACGCAGACAAAAATGGTAAAATGAAAATATTTTAAAACTGGTCGATATAACTAATATTTCTCATTTTTTGGATTGTTGTAAGAATTTGGCTGATTTCAAGAAGGCTTTGGTAGTTTTAATTCATTATATGTAGTGAAATTGTGTTGCTCTACAGGCAAAATCTTGTTTCAACACATAAGGTAAATAACTGCTTGTTTGAAACATTAAAAATTATGGCAGTTATATATAAACACGCGCACTTGTATATACATGTGCGACACTTCCTTTTGTACCTAAGCTGTCTCCTCTTTTACACAGCACTGGTGGCGTGAGTGTATGTTAACTCACAGTAGAGAGAGAGCTGGTGTCTCTGAGCTCCAGCATGGTGCAGCTGTGTGCCTGCAGGCAGCTTGGCGAGGCTACAGGGAGAGAAGACTGTATCTCCTGCAGAGGGAAGCGGTCCTGCTGCTTCAGAGAGGCTGGAGGCGGTGTATGCAGCGGAGACAGCGAGCCGCAGGCCTTATTCAGGCAACATGGAAAGCACACAGACAAAGGCAGAGATATCTGCAGCTGTGCAGAGCCATCGTAACACTGCAGGCTGCCTGTAGGGGGCACCAGGCTCGCCAGAGGTATAAGACTATTACTGTGTGGTACAATGGAAATGAGAGGTTATTTTGCATGTTGTTAATATTTTCAGAAACTTGCAAGTGACATACTTGGCTTAAATTCATTTATAAAAGCTATTATTATTATCATCATTTATTGCAGAATTTGCTGTTTGGGTTGGTGCTAAGAATGAAGCATTGAAATTCACAATGATGTGCTCTTTCCTAATTCCATAGCCTTTGTAGAATTATAATTTGTATAATATTTCTGCCTTTCTTAGGTGTAGCCGCTTGAGAGAAGAGCAAAAGTGCACTAATGAGGACGATGAAGACCAGAATACTGCAACAGAAAGTTTACATAACCTCCAAAACCTTACTGATGCCCAGAGAACTGACAAAGACTTAAAAGCACTTCAGCAAAGCTCAGAGATGTCACAGGAGGAGCAGACAGTGGAGGTTACTGAGAGTCTACTGTCAGAACATTCCAGAAGTCTAGATGACAGCACTCTTAAGAGCCGAGCCAAACGAGAGAGCAGAAGGAAGAGAGAGCTGGAACAGGCTACATTTAGTCTGGAACTGCTAAAGGTACGCTCCAATAATGTTCCTCTTTCTGACCAACCAGTGGCCTCTATTGAAAACACAGCGTCTTTGAAGGCTGTGCCCCTCCACTCCTCTCCTCACAGTTCCCTAGACAGCCATGGCAGTTTTGAGCTCCTTAATGTGGATGATGTGGAGCTAGAGGAAACAGACCTTCACCATCATCCTGATCCATCCCTTAAAGATGAGTCCATACCAATGGAGGTGAATAAGAGTGAATCAGAATCAGAGAAGACACCGGTAAGAAAGCTAGAGCTGTCCAGTCCAGTTCATACAGGTCAAACGACCTCAAAGCCTCTGTTCTATATATCAGATGAGGGAAGTAGCCCTGTCCGTCCCAAGCCACAGACACCGTCTAGGTCGAAACCAGGCAGAGACAGAAAGGAGTCTGTAGTGGTCCTCATCAGCATGCAGAAGGAGAGTCCTATAGACCAGAGCAGCCTGGAAGCCATGGAGAGGCTGGAGCAAGAGTGCAGGCCAAGCGCAACCCATCACAAGAGCATTTCCCCAGGCATTCGAGTTGGAGAGGCTGTTTCAAATCGTTCTACCAGCCCGCCACCTCAGGCACCACTGGACCCACGTCTCAATCTTGGGCTCTCATCTGGCACAGCTACTCCGTTGGGAGGAGGTGCAGCACAAAAAGTCACCTCAGAATCTAGAACAGAAGAGAACATGGCCAAAATACAAGCTCAGAAGAAGGCAGTCACTCACAGTATCAGTATCAGCATGAAGGAAAAAGCCACTAGCCTGGCCTTCTCGCCCAAACGCAGCAGGCTGACCTTCTCCAAGTGAGTAAAAGCAAACGTACCTCCTCCCATATCAGGGTTCAACAGGCACAACACTGTCACATATCACTTTGAAAACAGCCGTTAGAGTTTTAATCAGGCATGAAATTTTGTTTTGATCCCAAATACCCGACCCAACACACAGCATTATGTTTTGAGTTTGAACCCGATCCAAACAAAATTTTGTCTAAACCTGACCAGACCCGAAACGCGTCATGAAGTTTTGAGTCTGAAACTGACTTAGATCTAAAATAAAAGGTCTGCAACACACCCAAACCTGCACATCGTCACCTAAAGTGTTGAAGAAAACCTGACAGGATAGCGTTACTGTTACTGTGTAGTTGACAATAATAGCTGTCATAAGAACATGGATAAATAAAATATTTATGTTAAAAACAATATTAACTAATATGCTATAATAAAATATTCAGTTCTAAATTAAGTTTAAAGACCCTGTGCACTCAAAAATGTATTTTTTTAAATGCTTAACTCTTCTTGGATTTCTTATTATGGTTATATGGACTGATATTTCTGTCAAATATGTTACCATAGCACAGAGTTCACATTTTGCCACTGAAAACAGACTTTCTCAGTAAATCTGAAAAAAAGGTGCCATATAGCATATTGGTTTTGAGCATGGGCCTGTTATGATCCAGTATTCAAAAATATGCTAATGAGAGGATTTCTACACAGTGTCAGGAAACGTGCTTACACCTACAAAACATGCCTTTGCTAATGTAGCTAGATTTCTGGACTATGCAGTAAGTTATTAGCTAAAACTGACAATTGATGTTGGTATTTAAAATTACGGTGGTGTCAAATTTATATTCCACATCTGTCTTATAAACTGTCAGGTGTGGTGTAGAGCTATTCTGTTAACTTAGCATGCTACAGTTTCACACCCCCAGCACAGGTTCATTCCAACTCACTGAAGCTTCACTGATGCAAATTTAGATGATAGACTCAAATCTGAGTAAGTAAATCTATGTTTTTGTGTGTGGAGCTGTTAGCTTAAACTGCTTTTGCTTCAATGTCCTTATTAGTCCTGTAAGCCTGTGTTAGCTTAGCGAGAAGGCTTAAACAGCCACACAGGTTAGTTTCGGCTCATTGAGGCCTCACTGACACAAGTTTAGAGGATAAAGACTCAAATCTAAACGAGTAAACCTGTGTTTTTGTGTGTGAAGCTGTTAGCTTAAGCTACTTCTGATTCACTATCCTAGCACAAGAGGCTAATGTTAGCTTAGCGAGAAGGTTAAAACAGGTACACACAACCCTGCAGGTTCATTCTGGCTCACTGATGCTGCACTGAGGCAGCTTTAGAGGATGAAGACTCAAAACTGAGCGTGTGAAGTCAAGTGATTGTACTGGATTGACAGAAAGACAGAGTCTTAAAGTTACCTGGGGGCTTTGTTTCTGTTCTTCCTCATCTCATAAAACATAGAGACAGCATGCAGGGTACAATTTGCGTAATCATGCATATTCATAGATATTCGCATTCTTAGTAAGTGTTGAGATTTAGGGATGTTCCTATACCAGTTTCTTTGGATGTAACAATAGTACATACAATGTTATTAAACACAGATCATTTTATTTTGTTTTAAAGTATGGCTTTAGAGGTATTTTAAATTCCATTTAACACATTTGTTCATCAAGCAGTGCTTTTAAAACAACATTCCAAATGTTTTTTAGTCTGGATAATCATTTCATACTGCACTGCAGGCTGTGTGGTGCTGAAATACCAATATATTACCTTCACCCGTTTATTCCAAAACCTAAGAAATCCTAAAAAAAGGAATCCTGTCTTTTCACATATTTTGTCATGTAAAAGACTGCATTTGGACAGCTTTTTCCTCATAATATTTTGGGTTGAGTTTTTTTATTTTGAGTTTTGATGTAAGTCAAGGGGTAGAGTAAAATTGTTTAAAAGTGGTAGGCATGCTGCGTGAACCTAAAGATGAAATTTGAACCCTGACCCAAGCCCAACACACGTTTGGAAAATGACCACCAATCGACCGCTCACATCGAACTCTTCAAACTCTAACTACAATAAAGCCATTGCTTTATTGGAAAAAAACACTTCTAAATAATGAGTGTACCAGGAAAATGCAGTTTTGCTTGATACATTATTTTTAGCGTATGTAAAATATTTTTGATTAGTAATATATTTTCTCTTTACTTAAAAAGGTCTGTAATTTGTCCCTCAGGTCCGATAAAGATCTGGCGAATCAGGAGCGCTCTATGGCCTTGCAGAGAGAGAGAACATCAGGTTTCAGGTCACTGAAGAGCAAAGAGGTGAAGACCATAACTCTCATACGCATTAATTTAGTTCATGCTGTTTCTCCATATTAGAATGTCTGATTATTACCCATACCATCCCCATGTTTTGAGTAGCACATCTTGCGCTTCTTTGTACTATTTGAAATGTTGAGAAATAGTGACTTTTGTCTAAATGCTACAGGTTTAAAAAGCCATACTGCACTGTGTACACTGTGTGAGATTTTGAGCATATTAGTATATAGCACTAGGAAGTAGTTTCTGGCTCAAGGACTGCCTTGGGAATATTCAGAATAATGCTAGAGCATTTGTCTAAACACGGTATGTGTGGATTTGTGAATGAGAATATGCTTACACCTGCGAGTTCTGGTATCCAGTCCTCATGCAGCCATCTACATTTTGCATAAACTGTATGTACGAGCAATATACAGAAACAGACTTTTCACAAGAGGACATTATTTTGAAATGCTCAAGATCTCACATAGCACCTGAAGAAATAGCAAAACATGGCTCAGTTCAACTACTAAAAATCCTGTCTTTTCTCATATTTCGTCATATAAAAGTCTGCTGTTGGACAGCTTTTTATAATATTTTGGTTGAGTTTTGATGTGATGAATCACTTCAAATGAACAGGTGGCCAGAGGTGGCCGCCCAAAGAAAGCCCGCATGGCTCGGACTCGCTCCGACTTCCTGACCCGTGCCTGTAGCACTGAGGCTGATTCTGATGATGAGGATGATGATGATTACGAGTACACCCCTGTGCTCTCTCACACACTGCCCCTCCCAGAGCCCCCAGGCTCTCCCACTGCTGACCAGGCCTTCCACAGCGACTCAGAGATGGTAAACTTAGCCACAGTGGTGCTCCCCATCACCCTGCTAACCATTCCCCAGCCATTGCACTTCCTCTGGGCACTGGTTCTAACATATGGGTGCTAAACCTGGATTTGTGGTTCGCACTGAAGGAGGCTTTGTCTCTAACTCAGCATTCTCTAACACATGCCAGTTTTTTGACACAGTAATGTAAATAAAAGGAACCCATCTGACCAAATGAATGCGTCTATTTGGCCAGTCGTTATTAGGATTCAGTTCTTGTGGAAAATTACCTTTAAAGGGAAATCATTTTAAATCTGGCTTGATTTGTATTTGTTAGAAAATGTAGGTTTAATGCACTCATAGCCTCCTCTAGTTTGTTACCCCTGCTCTTATTACTGGATCTGTAGGGGTTGTTTCTGATCTATTAACACGGAGATATGGCTAACCTTAACTGACTTTTTAACACCAACGTTCTTCCAGTGGATTTGCACCTCTGACCTGTCTTGCTTTGGGGAAGAAGAAGAGACTCTTCAGAGAAGACCTAACCTCTCTGTTCTCTTTTTTCAGTGCTCTTAGTAGTCTGACACGTTTTTAGAAATTGATAACCCGCATGGTGTAGACATTAATTACCATTTCCTTAGAATGTCCTCAAAATCACTGTTTGAAAATTACTCTCCTGCCTTGCTCTCTCATATTCTTTTATGAACTGTCCTTCTCTTCCATTCACTCACTCTCAGATGCTCATTCACATGTCGTGTATATACTTACATATGTACAGTTGCTGATGTTGTAGCTCACAGATACAATAGTATACTTTAATTTTGTTCATGGTGCTGTGTTCTTGTTCTTCAAGCTCTGTCTGTGTCTCCTCTTTTTCTCCTCTTTCTGTAGCCCTCTCAGAAAGAACAGAAGCGTCTGCAGAAGACCATGTCCTCAGGAGATCTGGGCAAAGTGGACTCGTTAAGGAAGTCCTCATCACATACAGACAGCAGGTCAGCAGTCATTTCCTAATCCAGTTTTCAGATTTGGATGTTTTTCCATGGAGAGTCATAACGTGTGTTGTTAAATTTCAGCAGGGTCAGGGGTAAGATGCGCTTCTGGGGAAAGGGAAAGCATAGTGAAAAGAAGATGTCCACCAGGGGGCACTCAGCAGATGGAGATCTCAAACGCAATGGTAAGAACAGGGAAATAATGACTCTTCATGTAATCAAGTATAAGATGATATATATATATATATATATATATATACATATATATATATATATATATATATATATATATATTTTCAGGTGATCAGCACTCTTGTTTCTCATTGTACTCTCACTCTCTCTGGCTCCCCACAGACTCCCCCTCTGGCAGTCCCGAGCGGAGCAGAGCGCAAGATCGTGTTCGGGATAGCAAGGAGAACCGAGAGCCAGAAACAAGGATGATGATGATGACGATGAGGAGGAGGCGAAGTTTAAAGATCAGCAGCATAACCCAAGAGCCTACTGCATGGCAGAACGATTCTCTCCATATCCTCTCCTGCACAGCTGACTATCGTAGCATGAATGACTTCCTCATGAAGAAGGTAGCTTCAGATTTCCACGAACATTACAATAATAATCTTTACTCATATTATAATCTTTAGTAATATGACTTTGGGTACAGGCCAGTGTCATTTCTGAACTTAAATGCAATGTTAACATTACACATAATCAACAATATAAACCTATATTCTGAATTGGTCTCTCTTCAGTCTTGTTTCTCTTATTCACTGTAGTTGATTTTTTTTGGTCTGATAGATAAATGATCTGGAGACAGAAGACAGTAAGAAGGACACTCCTGTGGATGTGGTGTTTAAGAAAGCTCTGAAAGAATTCCGCCTCAATATCTTCAACTCCTACTCCACTGCCCTTGCTGTAAGCACCTCCCTGTTACCCACAGATTTTTGTAAAACATGCATGTTGATGATCAACTACAAATGTTACTATTATTTTGTTTAAAAATCTAACCAAACCAGCTAAGATTGATCCTTTTAGAAATCTGGTTTCCCTCCTGCAGTAGCCTGTTACATTTTACTCGCTTGTTCACTCTTACCAATTTCAGATGGATGATGGTAGAAGTATCAGGTATAAGGACCTGTATGCACTCTTTGAGCACATTCTGGAGAAGAGCATGCGTCTGGAGCAGAGAGACTGGTCTGAGTCACCTGTCAAAGTGTGTATTAACACCTTCAAAGTCTTCTTAGACGAGTTTATGACCGAATACAAGCCCATGGATAGCACCCTTGGCAAGGTAAAGCTTGCAGCCCTTATTTTGTGATATTCTCTGCCTGGTCATTATCTCTGTTTCTGTCTGTTCAACACTTTGTCTTTGTCACAGGCTCCTAAACCAGAGCGCAAAAAGAGAAGGAAAAAGGAGACAGACATTGTGAGTTCCTTAGTTGCTGCTCAAGAATTTTTTCTATAACAGTGTTTTTAGGTCGGCTTAATCAGCTTAACAGTGTTTTTCAGTCAGCTTAATTTATTAGCAAAACTAGCCAAATAATCCTAGATTAGAAGCCTAGCGCAGTGTATAATATTTATCTGACTTCATCTGCTGCACTCAGAACATTAGAGCTACCCTAAATCTCTGTTGCCCCCTGCAGGTGGAGGAACACATGGGCCACATTTTTAAGTCCACTCAGTACAGCATCCCCACATACTGCGAGTACTGTTCTTCTCTCATTTGGATGATGGACAGGGCCTGTGTTTGCAAATGTAAGTTTTTCAGTTCTTATCCTCTACTTCATTCATGATTGCTTTCTTTTTCCGGTGTCAGTGCCCATTTTTTGCCTTGCTAATGTTCTATTTCTACTTAGAGCCACATGGAACTCCAAACAGTTCTGTTAGATATTGCATGTTTGCAGTAACCTGTATGTTTCTATGGTAGTGGGAAAGTAAGAAAACCCATTTCAGCTTCCTTACTGCCTCTAGCTCTCACTAAGGAGCTTTGTAAGTGTCTGCCTGCTCATGTGAGAGCACTTTAATCAGATTGACTCGGTCCAGCCTCATACATTTATGTGCTTTCACCGGTAACACCCTGTTCATCTTTCTCTGTCTCTCTCTCTCTCTCTCTCTCTCTCTCTCTCTCTCTCTCTCTCTCTCTCTCTTTGTCTCTCTCTCTTTGTCTCTCTCTCTGTGTCTCTCTCTCTCTCTCTCTCTCTCTCTCTCTCTCTCTCTCTCTCTCTCTCTCTCTCTCTCTCTTTCTCTCTGTCTCTCTCTCCCCCTACCTCACTCTGATCATGCTGAATAGGGTGTGGCAATTTTGCATGTTGATTATAGCAGGCTGTGATTCCTGGGTTGGACTGTGAGTTGAGAGTTGAGTTTTCACTGATGCTGCTTTGTTTTCTATCACAGTATGTCGCTATGCATGTCACAGGAAATGCTGCTTGAGGATGACCACTAAATGTAGTAAAAAGGTAAGAAATGTAGTGTGCAATTTTGTGTTGTTGTTGTTGTTTTTCACTTGGGCTATTCTTAAGTTTTTCATCAAACAAAAACTTGTACGTGTGTGTATGCATGCATGTACCTGGCTGTGTGTGTGTGTGTGTGTGTGTGTGTGTGTGTGTGTTGACGTGCAGTTTGATCCAGAACAGTCTTCAAGGCAGTTCGGAGTGGAGCTCTCTCGGTTAACCAGTGATGAGAGAGCTGTGCCTCTGGTGGTGGAGAAGTTAATCAACTACATAGAGATGCATGGTCTCTACACAGAGGGCATCTACAGGAAGTCTGGATCTACCAATAAAATCAAAGAGCTGAAGATGGGGCTGGACACAGGTGAGCCACACATGTTCTGCGTTTCCATCACACAAAAAAAACAACATACAGTTACAGCAACTGAGTAGTTTTGGTGTTATTGCTGTTAATGCAGATAGGCTGTTATTGTAACGTCTTTTGTTATTTTGGGTGCTGCAACTGGTAATTGATGAGTTGACAAAGTTCTGCTTTTTATTAGACAGAATTCCTGAATGCACACATCACTAAGTTAGCATGTTTTTAATAGTTGTTAAGGTTATTCTGAGCAATGGAGAAACACAGCTACTCATTTAAATGTTCTCAGAAAAGTGAGCACGTTTTTTGCTGATTGTATTTGCTAAATTGAGCATTGTTGCCTTAATTCTGGGGTTTGGACATTCTGTTGCACCCCCATACAAGAATGATACATGCGTTAGTAAGTTATAGTCCAATGTTCCTTTAACTGTTCAGAGTTTTCTGTCAGCTTTATCTAGCACTAGAACAAACCCTGTGAACCTTGCTCTTGAAGGGAAAGCATTAGAAGGATTATTAAACAACCACATACCACAGAAACACATGTATGTATGCTAAAGTTATCCTGCTTGTTGACTCCTATTTCAGATGCAAACAGCGTGAATCTGGACGACTATAACATCCATGTCATTGCCAGTGTACTGAAGCAGTGGCTGAGGGATCTGCCCAACCCTCTCCTGACCTTTGAACTATATGAGGAGTTCCTCAGGGCAACAGGTATAGTGACTATGTTCCTCAGTAAGACAGAACACCTTCACACAAAACCGCATTTCCTTAGTGTTGCCTCTATTAATAATTTGGCCATTGCTTATCGGGATGTTTTATTGGTGCAGGTTTGCAGGACAAGAAAGAAGTAGTGAGAGGTGTGTACACAGTAATCGATCAGCTCAGCAGGACTCACCTCTGCACCCTGGAAAGACTCATCTTCCACCTTGTCAGGTACAACAGAGAAAACCTCATTCTATTGATAGTGAGGGCAAGAAAGTGTTTTTTTCTTGTCTTTGCTTCATGTTTGCTTTTAGTGTATAAGACTACTTTTTTAAATACAGCTCACTACAGTAAAATAGATTTATTTATATAAAACATTTAAGTCTAACATTGAAATAATCCTGGACCTGAAATAATCCTGGGACAAAGTAAGTTATATACACAATTACCTTTTAACTGTATCAGCAGTGCCATTGTTAAGTTAATATCAGTTACCATAGAACTGCAAAATCATGGTAGTGTCACAGTTAAGAATATAGCAACAATACTTACCACAAAACGCCATAGTAAAATCAGGCATTGTCATAGTTAAATATGTTCCAAACATAGTTACTGTTTTACACCGTTCTAGTTAATGGTGTGATAAATGTGCTATAAAAATAGTTGCCAAAAAGGCGCCATAGCAGTTAATGAGAGAATTGTACATTAACCATAGTTACCCTGAACTACCATACAACCATTGTTACCATCAGGAACCACAGTAGTTCATACAATCATGGTTAACCATTCAAAAATCACAATTACTCTGAATTACTATTGTAAACTGGATTGAAAGAGAGGGATTTTCATTCATGACAAAAAAAAATGTCATTGGTACAAGAAAGGTACATTTGACATTTTTTTATTTCGATTATATGTGTATTTTTCAGGATCTCACTGCAGGAGGAGACTAACAGGATGTCTGCTAATGCTTTAGCCATTGTGTTTGCTCCCTGTATCCTACGATGTCCTGACAGCATAGACCCTCTGCAGAGTGTACAGGACATAAGCAAGACCACTGCGTAAGATATCCATATATGGCAAACATTTGTCTGTGCAAGTTAGTTCTGTATGTCTTAAGGTCTGTGTTTAACTTCGCTCATGTTGATTTGCTCTTCAGCTGCGTGGAGCTGATCATCTGTGAACAGATGAACAAGTACAGGGCCAGACTGAAGGACATCAACACTCTGGAGTTTGCTGAGAGCAAAGCCAAGAGCCGACTCACACACATTAGGAGATCTATGGTAAGAGCACTGACAGTAAAACTGATAGTAAGAGTGCTGATGTAGGATCAGCTGCCATCCTCCATTCATACCAATCATAATCTTGATATCCTAAATCCCCAACTGTGCAAGAAACTGCTTTGAGATTCTGGATAGGTTGTGTTGGGTACTGATTAATCAGTTTTCCACATGATTTAAGAAGCACCCACCCCACTAACCTTTCTCTCCCCTCTCCCATCCCACCCCTCACCTCCCCCTCCTTCAGAAACCAGTACTAATTGCTGTTAGGTTTATGAGCATAACCCGAACTGCCACCCCGGTATGTATGCAAGAGCGCTGTGATCTCTACACTCTGTGTAGTTGTTGTAATTGACATTAGTGCAGCATTGTTGCCAACTTTGTCAGTCATTCGTCGTCTCGTCGCCTGTCTGGTCTGTAGAAGATGTGAAGATAGAAAAGAGTGGATTTTGAACAATATCTGGTCTAATGATTGTCTTTTGTCCACTAGGCACTATGTTGCCGAGCAAGCTGACTGTCCTTGTCCTGTGGCTCGTCTAGCTGCACAGGGGTCAATTACAAAGCTGGATTCATGGTTAACAGGCTTAAATAAGAGCTAACATAGCCCTAAAGATAAATATACTCAAGGAAGCGCTACAAAATCACTGTTTTCTTAAGAAGTGCTAAAATGTGACACTAAGACATCGGCAGTTGAATATGACAAAGACGTTGCAAAGCAATGTCTTGAAAGTGTCTTGACTCCATTTGATTAACTGGTTTATTGCCTTAACAAGTGCATACTGATAGATGCCCACATCGGACGTATTGAATTATTGATGTTTATTGAATTCTACACTGTTACTTTTTTGCTTTCTTTCTTAGCAGAAGAAAGTCCGACGAGCTGCTGACCTAAATTTAAGCCAGTTAGCTTACTAAATAATGAGTCCAACTTTGGAGTACTCCCAGTGGGACTAGTGTGCATGCAGCCCTAATCTTCTTACTAATCATTTTTTGTTTGTTTTCTTATTTCTTTTCTTGCTTTTGCTTCTCGGCTCAATAATGCGCAGCCAAGTGCAGTTAAAAAGGTAAAGCTCTGCGTGTGCAGATTTGTCTTTGTTCAGTGTTCTGCCCCCTGCAGGTCAGTTTGAGTACTGTTTGTCTCAACTGTAATCCTCATCAGTGAATTAAAGTAGAATTGGGCGAGATTTTTAAATTGAACGACATGTAAGCTTTATGAGGTGCTTTGCATGTAAAAACTGCCAAATAACTATTCGCTGTTACATTGCTGAGATAGCAGTACATTGTAGATTTATTTTATTTTACTCTTAGAAACAAGTAAGCAGCAAAGTTGATGATCACCATTAATATACAGGCAAATAAACAATATGTGTTACTATTAAAAAATTATTAAAACTGTTGACGTTACATATCGCCCAAGCCAACAATTTTTCCAGTGTCCAGTTTCCTGTCTTCCCATAAGTAAAATTCCATGCTCTGTGTTCTAGGAGGGTGAGTGTCATTTTAATTGATGGAGTCTGTCCCTTTGTCTGTGTTTTCCTCCACAGGAGACAGTTTTCATTCATATCACCTTCTGCCTGTTCAGAGCTGAATACAGTGAATTTAGGTTTTCTCTCTTTTTGTCTGTCAGGGTAAAGGCCGGTTGCGCAGAAGCAGTCACCACACCCCTTCACCACCCATGAGCCCACGGTCTCCTTTGGTCACTGAGGGGGAGGGTCCAGATGAAGAGGGGGTGGAGCCAGGCCTGAGTGAACAGCAACAGGCAGCAATGCAGCAAGAAGAGAAAGTGCTGACTCGGCAAATAGAGAACCTGCAGAAAGAGAAGTCAGTGTCCCTCTCTCCCCCTCTTTCACCATCATTCCCATTGTGTCTGTATTTCAGTTAGTTTGCCCCCCCCACACCTCCCCCACCCCAGCTGTCATTTGTCAGCTTTTGCTTGCAAACAAGAACTTACTACACTATAAAATGTTTCAAAACTGTTTGCTTGTGCTGTGACTATGTTTGTAATCTCTGTGATTTTGTAGGGAGGAGCTGACATATGAGATGTTGGCTCTGGAGCCACGTGCATCTGATGATGAGATGCTTGAGTCTGAAGCTTCTATAGGAACAGCTGACAGCTCAGAGAATTTAATGGCAGAGCAAGAAGGAGCAACGTCTGAGTCCTGGGGTAAAACTGCAATATATAACTATAATGTAACTAAACTGCTGCAACACATTGTAAAACTGAATATGGAAATATAATGTCTACAGGAAAATGGTTTAAAAGTGAATATTTAACATATTAGGATTTCTCAATTGGCTAGTTTTCTTAAGTCCAAATCAACCCTGTCCAGTTGGTAGAAGAAATAAGGGATGTTCCTCACTTATAAAGGAGAGCCCTCACTTCAGGTTTTAGTTGGCCAGCTTAATGAGATCCTGCTTTGTGAAATACCACCAGGTCTGAAGAAGCCTCATCTTCAAATCTGAACAAGTTAATTCTTTAAAGTGGCCATACGATTGGTTCCCATTTATGACTTAAGGTGAACAACTCTGTGCCTGACTTGTCTAGCTGTATGCACATGAACTGGCCACTAGGTGGCAGTGAAGTTAAACCGAAAGGACAGGAATGCCTTACTGTGAAGCTTGTTTGATATTAAAATACGTTGGAAACAAATGAGAATACTCAAAATAATCTCTGATATCATAAAACATTCTTAATTTCTACAGTGGACAGTGTGTGCCTGAATGTTAAGACAAGCCAGGAGTTTGCAAGAGTAACAGCAAGGCTGTGGATGAGAGAGGCTGAAACAAAGCAAGGAGCATTACTGTTCAGGGCAGGAGAAGAAACACTCCTTAGTGCAGTTGCCTGAGCATGTCCGTGTGATATGTGGGAGAACTGCTCATTACATAAATGGAAAATGAATTTATGACTCAGTGAGCCTTGAAGCAGCCCACTAAGTCATACATTTATGGACCGATCTTCACAGAAAATCTTGTTTAGCCCATTTTCAGTGCAGGTTTCCTGCCCATTTTCAGTTTAAATTGCATTGCTGTTCAGAAATCCTTAAGGGCTTGTTTTAGCATGTGTCTGGAAACCTGTTTAGTAATGCTCCCTTTCATAAATACACAACTGGATAAAGTGAAATTTCTTTATATTTGCTGTGTGACTGTGAATTAATAACTGTGATTAACAACTTAAGTTATTTTATGTTTGTGTTATTCTTTAACTTCCAGTTGTTTGTCTGCAGTGTAATGTATAGCTTTCAGGAAAGATCAGAGAAACTAGGTTGGACCGATTCCTTTTCATGTTCTCTTCTATGAAACTCTGCTCTCCATCTTCTTTGCAGAGAAAAACTGTTCCGCAATCCATTCTAGGAAGTCAGAATCCAAAAGCAGACGTGCTTTACGCCGCCAGCCCGAGTCTCTGGACTCAGTCGACTCTGCTGTGGCCTCTCTCTCCTCCACCTCCTCCACTCCTCACTACCGCTTCCGCTCTTCCTCCTCTGGCCCTCTCTTTTCCTCCCCTCCAGGGGGCGACCACCATCTTCTCCCTCAGCAGGAGGAATCAGAGCAACCCGTGCTGACCACTCGATGCGCCTCCAGCTCAGAGAAGACCCGGCCAAGGAGCAGGGGGAACCGGAGCTGCCCACCCAAGCCCCGCGAGTCCGGGGAAGGAGGTGGTCGGCGCAGAGAAACTGAGTTCGGGTCAGTGCAGCCGCTGGTGCTGTATGGTAATAATGAGTTTATGGTGTGAGGAAGAGAGGCAGTAACCTACATGGCTGAAGCTGGTATTCAGAGCCCTGTTAGATCGAAAACCTTTCTCTTGTGACAAATCACGTTGACTCGGAGTGGAGAAGAGTGCGAGAGAAGTAATTTCGGGGAAGAGTGCTTTGAATAAAGACAGTGAGAGAGACTGAAAAAGCTTGAGGCCCCTAGACAGCAGACGCATGTTGAGGTGAATGCTGACCTGTCAGATTGACTCTCAGCTAGGGATGACAGTGAGTGGAGGAAGAAGAGCAGGATGTATGCTGGAAGTAAGCCTGCCAAAACAAAAAGCAAAACCCCCCACATCTATGTGATCCACCCTGCTGTAGAGAGGACCTGCTGGACTGGTCCTTTTCTCACTGCTTAACTTTTAGCTGTTCATACTCATGTTTACAAAACTGAGCCAATTAGAAGTCATCTGACTTCGACAGACTGCACAACGCTTTGCTACCACTTTTTTCTTCACAGTACTGAGAGATGTCAGTGTTTCAGACATCACTAATGTGCTAAATATGTAAGATAATATTGTATTATTCAGAGGGAAAAAAAAACATTGTACATAAAAATGCAGTGCTGCTGGATGGTCCATGTGAAAAGCGTTTACTTGTCTGGAATTTTTTGCAAATTACAATGGTATGTATGTTTTTTAGGTGTTTTTGTGCCAGTGTTGTCTTGTAAGCGTGTTTCCTATTTTTTGCTTTTGAAGAAAAATATCACTAGAGGACAAAGGGACAGGCAACAGAGAGGTGTGACATGCAAGCAGAACAGCCATAATGTAGCTTTTCCATTCATAGCCATATTCACATTTTAATACGTCCAGTTGAGAACTTGCCTTCTCTGTTTCTTCCTTTTCTTTGTTGAAATGCTGGAATACATGAGTGTTCGTGTGACCAAATCAGGACTTGAAATATTTGTTCCATCTTTGTTTAAATACTGTTCGTAATATATTGTTTTGGTGTGCTATGACTTTTATATATATATATTACTTTTTTCTCTGAGCCATTTTTAGTTCCAACAGTAAGATGTTTTCATTCAGGCCAAGAATTATTTCCCAGGAACATACGCATACCATTTAGTTTCAACACTAGTAAAAAATTAAACGGAAATATATGCCAGAATCTCATTAATCCAGACTAATCACGCACTTATATACAAGCACACGTTATGGCAGTCCGTCCAGTATATATACTATAGTACATGAAAAAAGTGAAAGCCCAGAAAAGGGTTCAAATGAAGTTGTTTACTTCTTGCTACTGTTACAATAGCTGTTACAATTAAATCACATAATCTACCAGTCAGTATATTGTATAAGCATTCATTATGGTGTAATCTGTCAAGCAAAATGCAGCTACGTTCTTCTGTGTCTTGAACATGGTATGATAACATGCAGCTTTTCCTGCCTTTTCATGCAACTTTTGAAAGAGTAAGTCTGAACATAAGATAATCTTCCCATTTTGTGACACTACGGATGAATTAGTTAGTCAGTTATTCAGTGTTTCTTCATCTGAAGGCCAGGTCTGTGTGATCAGCTCTGCCTGTTTCATCTTTACAGCTCCAGAAACGTTACAGACAGCACACACACGTCTGAGCACAAAAACAAGAAAAGAAAAAAAAAACAATGGCATCCATGTGCATCATGTGTTGTATCCCTCATAAGTGAATGTACTGATCACTGGAAGGCATGCTTCACTCTGTTCTTCACTTCTTTCTTTGACATCTGTAGACTTAAAACCGTGTAGGAAGAGTGTAGGTCAAAAAACACTGTCTTAAAGGATATATTATCCTGTTTGTGATGCTAAATGTTGAATGATCCATTTTGTGTTTTGACAGATTAGATACAGTCTGAAGGAACCAGCTTGTGCATTGTTTTTTTTCGGAATTATTATTATTATTATTATTATTATTATTATTTGTGTGCTCTTACGGGCGCAGTTGCCTGTGGTGCATATATTTCTTTAATTACAAATCTGTTTATGGATGTAAAAAGAATATAATGAACATCCTCTTATTAAAAGACTAAATGAAACATGTGTACACTGACTCTTGATAGTCAAAATAAAAAAAGCACATTTTACATTTATTGTGTTTATCACAGTAGCATTGTGAGGTTTTTCACATTAGAACTGATTCATTTGAATTTCATCAAATTATCACACCTTGAATACAGGAGAATGTCATGCAGTAAATAAGAGGAGGCAATGGACTAAAAATCAAGCTTGAAGAAACTAATTTTAAAGGGGATGTTTTTTTTTTTTAACCTTAGTTTATGTCTTGTCTGGTCATAATAATAATAATAATCATAATATATAATTTAAAAGACAAAACATTTGTTTTTCTTTAATCTTCCATCAAAATATAAAGGCTTTAGCCTGCCTCTCAGACAACTTAAAAGATTTAAAACACCAGTTTTTATTATGTCACTGCATCAGTGGATGGGGAAAATGTTATTATTACATTACCAATATAATCATGCTTTACCTCCCCCTCCCACCACCTATCATATGGCACGCTCAGCTAGCTCAGAGAACCTCTGTGATACCGTGTTTCCTCAGAAATATGTTGCTGAAGGAAAATGCTTCATGATTTCCAATTCGCTTTGATTTTAAAGGGGTGATCAGGTTTAGCACTGAGAAGAGCTGAATTTAAGAGGTTAAGTGATCAAACCTCAATGATGTTTACCCTAAAACAGAACACATCTCTACTTTGGGCTGCTTAAAAAAAACAATACTAAAGCTATGTTTCATTTTTGTTACACTACATGTCAGTGGAGTATTGATCCATTATGTAGAAAAATAAGTTCTGGTTTTGACTTTATGGAAATTCCCCAACATTTTCTTCATTTACAGCCACGGTTGAGTTCCAAATCTTGCAGAGTCTTTCCTCACACGTATTATACTTTTCTCCATTTTAACACATCTGATTCAACTCCAGAAGGGCCTGAACAGCAGGAAAACACTGAACTTGTGGCTGACTGTTAACTAGAGGTCTAATGACAGTTGGCTTTATTTTTGTAATAAGGCTCACAGCAGGTGTAGCCTGTGTTTTACCTGTTCACAGAGCAACACAACAAAAAATATAAATAAATAAATAAATAAACGACTCACCCCTAAGTATCCATCCCAGAGCTTTGGTGCTCCTAAAGCCCATGTGTGAAACACAAGGACTGCGGGCCAGATCAGGCCCGCCACACAATCCTATCCGGCCCACGGAAGTATTTGAATTTTCTATTAATGTTAGCCCGTTTCACAATGTGTTGCACTACACTCCCCAGCATGCACTGCAACATAATGTACTCCGACTCTCCTACCCCAACAACAGTCTATGGGGCACTGGTTACACCTCAATTCTACACAATTCTGCGCAATTCCACACCAGTCAGCTGCAGTTCAACCAATATAAACGCTTAACGTCAGCTCACCAGCTCGGGAATTGAGCCCAAGCCTTAATGAACTTGCAGCGAAGAAAAGATGCCAGGTGTCTAGTTTAAGTAGATAGGTAGGTTTAAAAGACTGAGCTCCTGGGGACATTTACATTTAGAATATTTCAAGCGTCCATGTTAATATTTAGGGTCTACTACATGTATCTGTATTTTACTGTTGACGTTCTTGCATGTTTTGAATAAACAATGGCCAGTTCTGGTTTTAGCACGGCATGAATAAAAATGAGCTAGAAACGTTTTTTCTCCGGCCCACGAATTTGGTGAGAGGTGCCAATATGGCCCTTTTACTGGTTGAGTTCGACACCCCTGCCCTAAAGGGATATAGTGGGGTTTTGTTTTTTCCTAAGGTACAAATCTGGTACATACTAGATACTATATGGTGAGCACCCAATACTTTTAGGTGCACACCAGATCATATTGGGAGCTCACCATAGTATCTCGCCTGATTTTACATAAAAATACAGCACATCCCTTCAGGGGGCTCCGCACAAAGTACTTGTAGTCTTTCAAAAGTTTACTTCCACCTTCAAGTTAGATCAGCGGGGCTTTTCAGCATCTTTAACCCAGGAAATCTTGCTTTAGACTGTCGCGCTGCTGTGAGAGGAGAGCCGACTGTTTACAGCAGATGTAGGGATGGTTACATTTTTCCAGAAGGTCTCTTTAATTGAATGTGCCTTTGAATAAGTATGTTTTACAGAGATTACAGCATTACAGGCTGTGTCTAATACTGTTAGCTGTATGTAAGGACTGCAGTCACCGCTTTCACTGTTCAGTCAGGGCGGCTCTGTGCGCCGGTACTTTTGTTATTTTTGTTCTTTCGCTCTTCAGCTGTTCTGGTAAAATCTGAGCTGCTGGAGCGATTCAGCCGGACAGACTCGCCTGTCAGCTCGGGCGCAGCTGAATTCCTCCTGGATGTATCATCTGACTGAGGAAACATCACATGACAGACACTCAATAGTTACGGCGAATCGAAAACGAAACGAAACTCAGTCAGAGCGCGGAGGGAAGCGCAGAGTCAGAGTCAGAGTCAGCGCAGAGATAAAGCTCTTCACCTTTGTTCTGTTGGAGCGGTCATGTGCTTCCTCTGGTCTCCTCTCGTCCTGTTCCAGAGACTTTTCTCCACACGTCCACCCGGTAAGCTTACAGTCTTTCAGTCCGCCCTTTTATTTCGTGCTGCGTTTGAGCAGAGAGGACCTTCTGTCCTGCGGTCTGTGAAATCGGCGAGGTGGTCTGTTCACTGCAGTGCGAGTTCAGCAGCAGTGATTTCTCTGTAAACTCCCTCAGTTTGGGTTTTACCTGTTTGGGCTCGTGAGTGAGCTGATCTCTGTAGTCAGTGATGTTATGACTCGGTGCGGAGGAAGAGCGAAGCTGCGCTCCAGGTGAGTCTGCAGGGCTGCAGTCGGAGCTATAAACTAGACGCTGCTCCAGTTTCTCTCCACACCTCGCTCTTCTTCTCGCACTGGAGGAGCAGATGGAGACAGTGCTGCTCATAAACCCACATCTTATTGCAGGTGTGAAACGACATGGCGAAGAGACGCCGGTGTTCTTTGACCTGGAGACTACAGGACTGGGTAAGTAGACTGTAAACCCCTGAGTTTCTCTCATGAGCTCATTTCACCTCTTGTTTGTAGTTTGTCCCTGACGGTGTTCGCCCTGCTGGAAATAATGGACTTTATATGAAACTCTAGCTGGATATTCGACTTTCTCTCGTCGATTTCTCCTGAAATAAACGAGCAGAAATGCTCACAGTTACACTCCCTCACTCCTCAGAGCGCAGAGAACAAACTACAGCCCAACATTTTTCAAAAGGATCAGCCTGTAAGTTCTGCGGGACATGAAGGCAAAACAGCGACCCGCTCGAGTTTAAGGGAGCGTCTAAAAAGTGCGCAGCCTGTAAGTCTGTAAAGGTTCACATGTGAACACAGGTTGTTGAGGCTGCAGTGGATGTTTAGGGTGATAGTCGTATAGAGGAGGATTTACAGCAGAGTTCAGTAGTAATACAGTAATAAATAGATTATTACCAAAAATGAACAATAAATAAGTAACTTTTGAACACTTTCATGGTTGTAGTAGGTACAGAAGAGAATCAATAACGTAGTACAGATGAAATATCGAATGTCAATAGCATGGATTCAATAATAATATTTGAATTGAAAATTAAATTATACTAAAAATCAACAGTGAGACAGAAGTTTGTAGTACACACTTAAAACAATGGGTCTTCAAGGGTTCTTTAGTAAAGGAAATGGTTGTATATAGAACTATAAACATTCAAAGAACCTTTTGCATGATTGAAAGGTTCTAGCACTGAAAAGGGGTTCCTCTATAGTTACAATGTCAAGCTTGTAACAATAGAAGAACCCCTTTCAAAAAGCTTCTATATAGGACCATATACAACACATTAATCTCAACACATTAACATCACATTAATCTCAACACATTAACATCAATCTGGAGAACGCTTTCATAATGCAAAGAGCTCTTTAATCACGCAAAGAGTTCTTTGACTTATAGCTTATAGTTCTATATACAACCATTTTCCTCACTAAAGAAACCTTGAAGAACCATTGTTTTTAAGTCTGTATGTTCTTATGGGGATAGGTCATTCACCCTTCTCGGTACCTAACACAGCTTTATAAGTGTTAAAAAAGTGTTTTTTTAGTAATTTAGTTTAAATTTTACATTTTAAATGTATTACAGTGCTACTTGACTTTCATGAAATATTTTATCTGCAGTAAGTCATTCATCCTCCTCTGTACCTACTACTGAACTGCCTCAAGGAGAGATCTGGAAATGGTTAAACACATCGACACAAATAAAAACACAATCATTTATTTATTTGTATTTATTCTGATGTCAGTGTTTTTTTAACATATAAATACTGCCAAGATTTTACACAGTACTGTAGCTAATGCTAAGATTTTAGCAAACATCAAGACTTGATCACTTCTAAAACAGTCATTAAGTACAGTCACTGTAAACATCAGAAACAGTGCTGTATTCTGGGTAAACAGTTTAATTCAGTTTGACATGATAAGGCACCAGTGAGGATCCAGTGGTGTGTCAGTCCAGTTTTACTGGTACAAAAAGCCAGTTTCAGTGAGGGTTTAAAAAGGTTTGAATTCTAAATCTCGTTTCCCTACAGACACTGCTGGATGTGACATAGTCCAGCTCTCGGCCGTCAGTGGAGACCAGGTTTTTAACGTCTACATGCTCCCTCGCTGCCCCATAACCGTAGGCGCCTCTAGAGTTACAGGCCTGACCACCAAAGGCCGAAAACTTTTCCTGTACGGGCAGCCAGTGGATACAGTCCCAGTGCAAGAGGCTCTGATGTCATTCATCTCCTTCCTGAAGACCCTCAGTAAACCATTTCTGGTGGGCCACAACTGTAAGCGGTTTGACTGCCCCATTCTGCTGCGGATCCTGAGGGAGTTCTATCTGCTGGACCAGTTCAGAGACGTGGTGTCAAGCTTTCTGGACACACTGCTTCTGAGTAGAGAGATGTTTGCACTACCGAAGTACTCTCAGCCCTACCTGGTCCAGCATTTCCTCCAAAAGAGCTACGGAGCTCACAATGCTACCGAGGATGTGAAAGCACTGCAGGATCTGTACACAGTGTGGAGGCCAAACATAGAGCTGCTCAACAGGCACAAGTTTATCCTGTAGCAGACACAGGAGTCAGCTAGTTCATATGCTTTTATTAGTTAGTGCAGTAGTTACTTCATTCATAGTAGCTACTGAATAATAAGCCTTAATAACAGAACAATAAGCTCAGGGCATAAGGGTTCATTTGGGATCTAGAACAGTTTTGACTTGATGCGAGTTAATCTTTAACACCTTTAAGTCCAGTTATTTGATACAACTTGTACTTGAGACTCGTATTGATGTTGCTCATTCAACTCAGTCAACATCAAGAAAAACTCATCCTGATCTTTTACACAACACACTCTGATGGCACCCTTGATAAAACTCAACAAACTCAACAAACAAACAGACAACCATACTGTATGCCTAACACATGGGTAACATACATATATTTTGAAACGGTTAATAGCGCCTATAAGATAAACAAGGATTAATAATCATGTAACTTGTCATTGGAAAAACTGACCAATCAAATGGAGATCAGGTATCTGAGAGACATTAAAAGGTACATATAGCACAAACTGAAGGTGTGAATTTGTAGTTCAGTCCTGTTTGCATTTGCATAGTTTTGTTTAATCTGGAATAATTCAATCAGATAAAACTCCATTAACTCTTTTCATTCAGCAAAATACCTCAAATGACTGATACACAAAGTCCTTCTCTACTTTAGCATGGTAATAACCTATCAGTTGGTGTCTTGAAGGTGCTGTTTTCACTTATCAGGCTGATTAAAACTGTGGTCTGAGTAACAGTCTGAGTGTAGACCTGCATGTCAAACACAGTATCAACATTCATTTCAGTAGTGATTTTAGAGCTGGATTACAATAAAATATATTTTGTCCCTGTAGTTTATCAAACATGCTACTAGCAGTGAACAAACTCAGGCCTTACAATCTATGCAAAATGACTGTCAATCCATTTTTACGTGTTTTATTTTGTCCAGTTACTCCAGTATAGGTCTCTGTATAAGTTTACATTGTGTATATATATAAGAATAATACGAATGGATTTCACCTGACATACCTGCAACCTGCATACTGTACAAATCAGATTACTGTCTGGACGTTGTATCGCAGAACATCAAATCTGATTAAACAAGTACTGAAAAAATGTGTGTACTGAATCTCGTTTATGCTGGCCACTGAATATTTTCACTTCACATTACATGCAGCTGTGAATCTCCACTCACAAAGGAAATGAGCATTTTCTGTCTCAAGCTGTTCTATTTAAAGGTACAAAGATTTGACAAAGTGCATATGCTCAGTTCTCCAAAATGGTCAAGTTCCTTGGTCTGAAAATTTCTTATATTGTAAAAGAAGACAAGGCCATGGTCTTTGACTACAGTTTTACCAAGCCTCACACTAAACTGAAGACCATAAGCATGAAAAAAATATACACAGACCATTTACTTCTGGAATGAGGGCGTGTCCTTTTTGCTAGAAATGATTTATGTAATATTGATATCAATGTGGCGAGATTTAAAGGGAAACAAAGACATGATAAACAGGCTTACCACACAACGGTGTTTCATTACATACTTTATATTGTTAAAATGTCACATTATATTGTTATTGACAAAAGGTGAAGTTACCAAACAGAAATAAAAAGCTCGGAGGGCATGCAAGGCAACTTTCTTTACAGGGATATTTCATCTACTCTTACACAGGAGAATATCAGGCCAATTAGCCAGTGTTTGTGGCCAACAGTGAATGAAAACTAATGTCATTTAGACATCGTCAAAACAAAACACATTAAATTGCATTCATTGTTGGCCATTTCTACAATACTGCTTTTGCAGAAACACAAAGCCGGTTTTGGGTCAAATCTTAAACCTAAATCTGTCAACAAACACAAAGTTTTTCCACCTTGCCTAGATTCCAATAGATATCCACAGCAGTGCGCTTTGGGAGCTGGTAGCTGCGCTTTCTGAACAGGTCTGACAGTTACAGGAGCGATATCTCTTGAGATGGGTGCTGTTAAGGATGTGAAGCTTAGGTGTTCTCTTAAAATGTCCCATTAGTTTTGAGATCATCTGAGCTGTGAAGCAACATTTAATCATCCATTTCCACGTCTTCTGCCAACTTCTGCACCATCTTCTCCTCCAGCTTTTTGGCTTCTCCTATACAACAAAAAAGGGTTATCAATACATGGATCCATATTATGGCAAACTTCTGTATTTGTTATCAAAAGTTGTGAAGAAGGCCACACATTTCATGTGATGTACACAGCACAGCGCTGGGAGATATGGCCAAGAATGTTATTGATCAATTTTCATATCAATCAATTTCGATAATTATCACGATAAATGTGTCCACTCATTATTTCTTTCAAGTTTAACAGCAGATATTTACTCTTGAGTGAAAGTTGAAGAAACCACACAGTCAGAACACACTCCAAACAGCAGAACACATCTGTCATGGGATAGTGGGAGAAAGTTTCCCCAAGATAGCTGTTTTTACCAGCTGGTTAAAGCAGCACTGTCACACGCACAGCATGGCCACAATTTTTGTAATATTCCTAATTTAAAAAGAAAACAGACTATTTTTTAGCTGTCTGGTGACGAGTGCTAGGCTACCTGGTTACAGGTTCTCAACAACGTTAGCTTAGTACGAACAGCAAACATTAGCTGGTTCGGTACGTCAGGGATGGATCACACCGCCTTACTGCCATCACTCCTACCACATCCATGCCAGAGCATATCACAGTATTCAGACACCAGCTAGTACGTCTGGGTTTCTCTGTTTTATCGTAGCAGTTTAAAGGGCGGAAGAACCACAATTTATCTGACGCTCGCTGTGTAAAACTGCAGTTAGATTCTCTTGCACTAGTCAAACAATGTCCTCCTTTTAGGTGTGTTTACACTGAAATCAGTGTTTATCGCTGCAGCTCACTACAGTAACATCAATTCGGCCGTGCGAGTGACAGAGTGCTGCTTCAAGTTCCAGCTGCTAAAAACAGCTACAGGTACAGCATTTTTATTTTTTATTTTTTTCAAAATTGTGCTGTAACGAGTAAAAAATCCACTTTTCCTTCTTTTGCTGCTTGAGAATGCACCAATACTAAAATATGACTGAGCACTGTAACACACAGACCACTTTGGCTGTAGGTGTGTGGAGCAGACGTGATTCATCACTGCTAAAGCTTGTTACAATGTTAGAAAAGAGGCAAGTTCGCTGTAGGACAGTACAGTTACGCCACTTGTCACTCACACTTGGTCAGAGCAGAACAGATCACTGATCGCTCCACTCAGACAGGCAAGGTATGACCCCATGTTTCAGATGTTATGCCATGTTTTTTGAGTAGTCTGCCTCCTGGCTACAGACGTGGGTACTGCCTATTAAAACTGTAAAACACTGATGGTTTCCCCTCACATAGACTAGATATATTAATGGCTGCCAAAGTGTGTTTGGTGACCCATTCAGTCCCCACCCACTCCCTCCTTGAATCACGTCGAAAAACTCGTAAGTGTGCGACGACAGGGTAGTGTCGCTTTTCTTACAGTAGAAAACACCACCAGGCTGATGCTGGAACGTCAAAGTGTGAGAATGGTCTATTACAACAAACATTTCTTGTACATTTCTTATATTTCTATCAAGGAAAGCTAAATTGCAACACTTATCATTATCGCCAAGCCCAAAATGTACAAATGCAGATGGTGTAACAAAAATCACACAGCATATACCTGTTACAACATTAAAAAACAGAGGCAACTTATATACCATATTTTCATTACAAATGTCTACATATGGGGAGTTTTGTTCCAAAACTATTGCATTATTTTTCTTTTTTCCTCCATGATATGCTGTGGGAGGGCTTTACACATAAGAAATATCAATGCTATATATTAATATATTAATTAATACTACCTTTTTTTTCCATTTTCATCAGCCTTTTTTCCCCCTTTTAAAACCTTGTTATAGGTACAAAGTAGCACCCTAGATTACATACATATCTCAAACATATCACTGACTACATATCTGTGAACTGCCAGTAGACGGCTTTTACCTGCATGTGGTGCTTTGATGAGGTGGATGTTCTTCTTGACTTCGTTGATGGCTTCTGCCTTCTCCAGCTCTTTGCCCTTCTTCAGTCTTTACGACAAAAGAAAAAGTTGAAAGTCCATTGACTCAGCAGATTAACAATGTATACAGCAAGAAGTATTTTCATGTTTTACTATCAAGAGAGAACTAAAGCCACCCTCACTGGACACAGAGGACATTTTTAAAATAAAAACCATTAAGAATTAATTCATTCATTAGCAAGTTTTTAGAAGTCAGAAGTTTAATAATAAAACAGTCTCACCTGTTCATGATAAACCGAGCCTGTCGTTTCTGTTTGATAGACTCTACCTTCTTCATTGCTTCCACTAAAGAAGGAAAACAAAACAAAATTACACCTCAAACCACCGTCATTAAACAACACCAGATCTGTGTACCGATGTAATCCTTACTCATGGAATACGTACCTGTCTTGCTCCATAAGGTCCTGTTGTATTTGACTGGAATATTTCTGCGCTGTTCAAACTCTAGTGAGTTATCCTGGGACAGGGGATTGATAATATAATTAGGATAAATGTTACAATTAAACTTTTTTGTATTTTGTTTATTGAACACTTAGTTGACTTTTTAAATAAGTTTAAAGCACTGCTAGTTGTACAAGTTTGCTGAAAAGGCCATTAATATTAAAGATATCCTTAAATAATTAGGTAGATATATAAGCCACTTACCACTGTCAATTCCTTGCCAGCAGCTTTCCTGAATGCTTTGGTCCACCTGGTCTTCCTTGGATTGCGCTTCTTCTTGAAGTTTTTGTGACATTTTGATTTGCAAAATCTAAATACCTGTGCGAGAAACACGAAAGCCAAATAAGATGAGAGTATAAATATATGTATACACGCAAAGCACGTGTTTTACAAAACAGCAGCATGTATTAGACATTGCTTGGGTTTGTGTCTTGGCCAATGTTAAGCTTAATGAGCCCAAAGCACCTGACCACTAAATAATCTACAGTATATTCAAGGGCTTTGTGAATTCATTCCAAATGTTAGTGAGCTGGAGTTAATTTAATACTTTCCAGCCTACGGAAAACTCTTACGAGCAGTCAGTTACCAACCGTCGACAATATTCAATAAGACCATGTTCACACTACCAGAATGAAGTGGCGGAAATCTGATTTATTGCCAAACCGATGTATATTTTTTCAAGTGCTGTGTGAAAACAATTCTTTTCAAATGACCTAAAAACCACATTAAATCTGACCTGACTGGTCAAACTGAGGCTCTGTTCATACTCTATCTGTATTAAAAGCTGTCTAAGGTGATCTGATTATGCATCTCAAATGCTGGAGAAAAGGTACTCTGTACATTTACTACATCAGTCTCTCACTACATTTGTTATCACACAAAAATGTCCTGTGAGCCGTTGTTCATGTACATACACAGACTGTAACAAACATTTAGACTGCATAGATTGCAAATCTATATACAAATGGGAGAGACGTTACTTTTTCCAGCGTACAAACGTTACGTGGTCATGTGTGTCTACGACCACCTCCAAAGGTGGTTTGAGCATTCAGATCTCAATGTGTCTCCAAGCCACACTGGACCTCTGTCACATCTGTCCACTTACAAACAAATTTGCCAAGACACATGTAAATGTTAAGTGTGAATGGGGCCTGAAACACATGTCCAGAGATCAGATCTGAAACCACAAACAAGTGGGCTTTGAATAAGACTGGAAAAAACGTTTCCTGTTCAAAGCAGACAGCTGTCTGTCTGAGTAAAGTCCATCATATGTAACTCGGATACATGTCCAACTTGTGGTCATGCAATCATATTGATAACTGTCAGATGAGATCTAATGCGTTTTGCTCCACTGCACTTGCACACATTACTGTCATCACCCAGTGTGGGCAGCGTGGCAGCAATTAAAGCATTAACACATCTGGCCTTTTTTCACCTTTTCGCCATTTTTAAGAAAAACTGAGAGCAAATAACTTATGATGAAGGCTTGTGCTGCTGGTTGACACATGAAGAAGGTAGATCATTCACATGACGTTACTGAGATGCACGCATTAGGCGTCCAACTAACATGGGTCACTTACAAACACAAAAGTGAATATCAAGGCAGAGAGCCTGGATCTGAGCAAAAACAGTGAATTAAGCAATAAGAACTGTGAAATGAACGCAGCCATAGAGCTGATCAACGGCCTGAATGTCTGAGGTTTGTGGAGACACCACTGTTACTGAAGAACAGACATACCGCCCTTCAGTTTCAAAAGTTTAACTGACCCAGTTTATCGATTTTAACACTTCACTCATGTCCTTGACATCAGAGCTCCTGTCACCTTACATTTCCATCAGACAGAGATCTTACTGGAGGGCGTATGTTTGGTTCAGATGTTCAGAAAGGTGTCTACATCAGTGGATCTCACACACCGACCATTACAGTAATAATCATAACAGCAGACACATTCCCGAGTGTCGTTTTTCTAAAACACATTCAAATATCAATATTTCGGAAATTAAAACATTGACGAAAATGGTTTAAAGCGTTTACTAGGCTAACGTTACTGATAAACTTCACAGAAACTGAAAATTAACGTTAACGACGAAGCTGAAATTGGCTTCTTGTTCGAATTTTCCCGTTCCACCTTAAACGGTGCAGCAGTTACATTCTGGCATCTCGAACATTATGATAACTGCTGGCATTTAAGGTGGAGCAGGAACATTTTAACAAAAACCTGACGAATAAAAAGCCAACTTCAGCCTCGCAGATGAACATTAGCTAAGCTAGTTGGCCTGTGCCGCTGACGTTAGACACAAAGCCTTCATCGAAATCGGGAATGGAGCTAAATATCCCACAATAAACACTGTTCTAGCAACGAGAGATAGTCGGAGGAGGTCTAGGTGATGTTCAGAGACCACACTCAAATCACCACAGCCAGAAGTCAATCCCCCAACAGTCTAAGTTGATATAGTCTCCTGTTAGCACAACATTAGCTACCTCAGCTAGCGCTACCTTAGCTAGCCCAGCTAAGCTAGTCATCGTCGAAGGCCCACTAACGTAGTTACTGATGTAACTCGGCTAAACCGGACACACAGCCGGGCGAGTCACCTTGCAGTCGTTGCGGACAAACATCATGCCGTGTCCAGGGTAAACCGGCCCCGAGCAGAAATAACACTTTTCGACCCGCATTCTGGCTCCGCAGCGTCTCTCTGATCAGTCCATGTGTTTACGGCTCGGCGTGGAAACTCTGAAAGGAAACACTGAACACACGTTTCCTGCCTTCAGTCTCACCCGAGGCGGCCGCCTCTCACCGCCATCTGCAGAGCTGGACCACGAACTGCAGCTCTCCGTCATCTGCGCTCATTACCGCTCTCAGCAAAGGGGAGCTCCACCGATTTGTCCAAATTTCTGCATAATTTACTCACTAAAAAAAGTAGTTTAGAGTGTTTTGATGTTAAATGGTTCACTGTAGAGAACTTGTAACAAAGTGTTACAAGTAAAAATGTAAATCTAAAAATGTAACCATTGCTTCATTTGTTGTAAAGAAGTCTACTTGGATCCTACAGGAATGTCCCGTTAGTCTCTAGAGTGAGATATTCTGGTTTAAAAGCAGGGGACCTTGAAAGTGGGAGGAACTTCTGGAGCACCACAGCTGCTTTGGGGCAGGTACTTGAGGGTGGGCTGTTTTATTTGTTTTTATTATCACACAAGTCTGGATAATGCAGAAAGAAGCCAGATGGGGTGGGGATGGATAGAGCAGGGGGTGGGCTTCCAATGTTTGTTTGATGTATTTGCACGTTTCATGCTGACTATTGCAGTGAGGGAAAACTGATGGACAAAAACACAAACAGGATATAAAATCATGAGTTTTGTCAAAAGAGGTGCAACAATGCACAGCAGAATATTGCACAACACTGATGTTGCAGGTAAAGCAGATGAGCCTAGAGTAGTTCTAAATCTGTGGCAAGGACAACAGAGGACTGGAGTCTATTCTACTCTAATACTGCAGTAACGTTTCTCTTAGAACCTTTGTTCAAGCCTTTATGATACAAATGAGTGATCTTCTTTCAGATACACTTGCAATCGCTGGACTTAAAAAATCTTCAGATCTGTATGGTTTCTCATATTCAGTTCATTTCCAAATCATACAGAGAGCCAGCTCTCCAACGATGATCATTATCCTCATATTTAAACAAGTGAAACTGACAGCAGCACACACAAGACAACCATATCAACTTGAAGAAATATTTTTTATTAAACTTGCATTGTTCTGACCACCTTTGGCATGTATAAAACTGGTAAAAACAACCTTTCACTTTTTTTAGGAGTGCTGTTAACACTTTAGGGGAAGCAAACATTTTATAAAATTAAAACAAACACAGAAATATAAAGCTAATTAATACTGTACAGACAAAATGGTGCATTCAAATATGCATATTTAAAGTAAAGAAAACAGCAAGAGAATTATAAAATTCGGCCACTTGGGTGGAAAAATGGGAAAGTGTTAGCCAAATCATACAGTTTTCCCTATTGTTTATGTTTGCAGTGAGTGACCCATAAAAATAACTTCCAAAAGCACAAACAATAACACATACAAAACTAACCCAAAGAATGCAACACAATTACACTCCCCCTGTGAAACATTTGGTTTTCCTATTGAGTCTACCCATTCAGCTTTACATTCACATTCTGAGAGGTTTCCGTGGAATGGCATGCTCAATGAAGCATGGCTTGTGCCCTTGCTCTGTTATGGATATGAATTTGGTGCAGCGGTCAAAACAAGATGCAACTTTATGAGAATAAAAAACACAGTCTACTCAGTACACTAGGGTGACCATAACAATCTTTGGTTTAGATTTCTTGTTTATTAAAAGGCGTAAAAAACTGATTTTGTTGAACCTCACTTAAAAGGGCTGTGTCCAAACTGCTTGATTAAACATTGTTCCAGCTTATGAAATGAACTTTCACTAAATATCACCAAGTCGTTGCTGAAAAAACTGAATTTGTAACTGTGGCACAATCACACTCCACACATAATTCAAAATTGCACAGTCATTTGTCAGTCACACATGTCATCACTGTAATCTCAAACTCTTGGACATGAGGAAGACATATATCACAGTCCTCCGCACCTGTTACTCAGCATGTTTATATCCAACCCAGTTAAAGAAGTAAACAACTCTTTGGATAATAGCATCTGTCACCACTGCTGTTTAACTACAATCTATAAAGTAAGGTCATAAAGTAAATCATTGGGCTTATCCAATAGATAAACACTAAAGCTAACTTGCTAGACCAATGTGTTAAAGCTGAAATGGCATTCTTTGTGGCACTTACAATATACAGAAATATATTTTTATATATATCTTTGGAGGTAACAGTATTTTTTTTTTGGCATCATTCCACATCTCTGTAGCATTCGTTCATTCATTCTTTGGATCAGGTATCTTTTATATATTCATATATTGCAAAATGGCACTTCCACCATAAGGCCATTATGTTTTAAAGCTTTCAAGGTTTGATGCACTGAAAACACCAGTGCACTTAATATTTGGCTCTTACTTATCACCCAGAACTTAAGAGATAAGAAATAAAGAAATAAGGATAACCAAATCATACTGAAACTGAAGTCCTCCACTGAAGATACATATACAACTTAAGTCTCAAACTGAGCTCAACAACATCACAAATAATTCTCAGTAAAATGGAACAAAATATAAACTCTAGCTTAAATACAGTATTTGGGAAGAAAAATGGATCACATGACCCATCAGCAAAACTCAAAATCCCTCAGGTTATAAACTTAGTAAATCATTCTTCCTAATTAATCACACAACAAAACGCTGTTCAGAGGAGGCAGTTCTGAAAAAGTAAGCAAAGTTTGAAAAAGAATATTGCTAAAAAACCCAAACCAGAGCGAGGTATTTAGGATTCTTTGGCAGTTTGTCCATGAGAACCTTTCTCCAAGTTTACCCTTAAGCAGCTCTCGTTAGAATTAGGTGAAGTCTTTTTTAAGAACCTGAGGCACCTTAACCTGTTTCATAAGAAAAAAAAAAAGAGTAATAAAGTGTAAAATGTGACACATACAAAACATGGCTTATAAATAATGCAGACTCTGTCAGTAAGTTTAAGTAAGTGTAAATAATAAAAAAAGGTAAATCTGAGGTAGGTAGACAGCGGAGAGGGTTTAACAGCTCCCTCTAGTGCGGATGTAGAAAAAGGAAAAACAAAATTTTATTTAGGGTTTAACAGCTCCCTCTAGTGCGGATGTTGAAAAAGGAAAAACAAAATTTTATGGAAGGAACATTAAAACATTCTATAAAGACATTCATCATTTGGTGAGAGATTTTCCCCAGTACAGGCAGAGGAAAACAAAACTAGTAGGAAGTACATTCGTCATAAGTAGATCCCGAAGAAGGCTCAGATCCAAAAACCGCACATCTCTGAAGTCTTGTGAAGGTCGACCACTCCTCTTGAGCAGGTCTCTAAAATCTTGCAAGGGATGAGGAACATCTGAGGGTGTGCTTAATCCCTTGAGCCACCAGTGCATCATAAGTTTGTTTGGTAAAGCTATATGGACGTATTTGCCCGAAGGAAAATGCTGGTCTTTGGCTGTTTCATGTGGGTGAGCATATCCTGAGAGGTAGATGGTGCAAACTCTTTCCAGCCTGCATCACTGGCTGATTATGTATTTGAGAAGTGCAGTTAGGATAAAGTGGGGCTGAGAAGAGCAGGTGATGGTGAGGTAGATTCAGCCAGAAGCGTAATCACAGACGTTCAGAACACAGCTCGATGTGTCTTCTCTCATACATATTCCACCATGATTCACTGTCGCAACGTTTTCTGAGGGACCTCTCTTGTCTTTGCACACAAAGGGCTGCTGACACATGTTAGGGCTGCTGGTTTCTGCCTCGTCGTGAGAGAAGTTTCCAGAATCTCCTGTGTCTCTGCTGCCCTCGCTGGTCTGAGAGCTCTCTGATTCTCCTAGTGGATGATAGAAGATCTGCAGGGAAGAAGGCTGAAGAGATGCGACTGCTTGCTCCTCCTCATACTGCAACACTGTCTTACCCACCTCATAAAAACATCCTCGCTCCACAACCTGCAATATAGACATTGAATGTTTTTTGTAAAATCTGCAGCAACACATTTAATTGAATTTCAATTCAAGTTCTCGAAAAACACTTTTCATAATGGATACTGCAAGAAAATAAAACACAAGTATGTTTGATTGAGTTGATTGAGCAACTCAAAGACAGCAGCAAAGAAAAACACTACAATTTAGAATAAGGAAAAAAAACTAGAGAAGTTCTAAGACTTGAAATAAGAAATGAAAGCCTCTAACATAAATTCACATTTTGTTGAAAAGGTATGAAAATTACCTGGTTCTTTTTTGGAATACGCTTTTCTGCACTGCTGAAAATGTTCCACTTCCTTGCCTTGTTCTGACTGCTACTGATAATGGGTCCACTATGGTTTATCATCAAAGTTGTCCCACCCTGAAAACAAATAATTTGCAAATGCCATTTAAAATCAAACTAAACAGACATTATTACCTTGAGAGGGAATGATTTAATAGCAATCTTACCTTAGTGTCGATGAAATGGTTTCCCATCATTGGTACCAGAACCTCAGCATTCTCTGCCTGGTGTTGATTGGCTGGTGGCACACCATTATGCATGACTTCACCATTCACCCGTCCAGTCATCTTTGAAGATGAGGACTTTCCCCTGAGAGGAGCAAAAAATGAGTTCAGTTGGGTTACAGATTCCCCATATCGGAATGCAAATGAAACACATATTGTAAGTTTACCTACCTTGTTTTGCTTTTAGTGATCAGGATGAAGATACAGATAATGATACAGGCCAGTGCTATACACACACCAATTATAATACCCGTCATAGACTTTTCATCAAAGCGATACAGGCCATCTGTAAAAACTGGGACAGAGAAATACATTTACATATCACAATCACACATTTTCTCATCAAGCAAAACCAAATACAAGTGCTTTAAAGCAAATGCTAGCCATCAAAGGTTTTGTCAGTGCTGCATACTGTGATTCAGGGAGCCATAGGAGTACACTAAATACATACATTAAATAAATGTGGAACATTATATTATATAACACAATGATTATGATAACATGAACAAACTCTGACACAGACATACAAAGAGCCAGATTATTCCATTAGTACCTGTAGTCTCAGTCTGGCTGTATGTATGGCGAGGGTTTTTGCCCTGGTGCGTTTTCCCTCTGAGTACGGGGAGCTCCACCATGTTGGAGAAAGGGCCATCACCAGCTTGATTTGAGGCTGAGATCTTCACCATATAGACATTACCTGACTCCAGCTTCTCTAGCAGAGCCATGGTATTGCTCCCTGGGAGAGAAAAAACAAAGATTTGTCCTAAAATATAGTGACAGTTTTCACAATGTTCTTTCAGATTTGAAGCCAGAACAGCTCTATATCTATTGAATTCTATATCACTATACCACTTTATTAAAGAGGGCCAGCTGTTTACTGTTTATGTACAAGGCCTTCTATTCTGTAACTACTCTGTATTATTTTAACAAGACCTTTGTGCTTGAATTACTTTCAGCTGTTGCCATATTAGAATGTTTATAATGTGACCTTTATCCTTTGTTCATTCTCATCCCTGTTTAATACACCAATTCATATTTATACAGCTTGAAGCACAGTTTGTGACACCTGCATACCTTCTCTCTGTAAAACCTGCCACTCTCCTGCGAGCCACGCTCTTTGCGAGGCATAGAGGATGGTGTAGTGGGTCACAACCAGGTTGGTCTGCTCTGGCTGCCTCCAGGACACCAGCGCTGTGTCATCCTCTATCAGAGTCGCTCTCACTGCCAGCGGTGGAGAGGATGGAGCTGAAATACACCACGCAGAGTTTAAAGATTCAGATATCAGTCGTTCTGTATCAAAACCTTTGTGGTATTTACAACAAAGTTTTAATATTTCACATTGCAGCATCATTAGATTGCAATTATCTTTTAAAGATGAGAAAGGTTTAGCATATTAAGAGAAAAGCTTTACAAATTAAGCATTAAGAACAAAACCAATGACAAACTAAATATTGCACTAACTGTATTAAAATATAATGCCTGTGTGTGTGGTGAGAAGAAACTGTTTAAAGTATACTGGGGCAGTGGTGCAGCCAAGTGAGAAGTCATTAATTTGCCAAAATGTGTTCAAGGTTTGGTCCTTTTATCACCTTCCAAGAGGGTTCTCTGATATATGGGGGAGCTCCAGGGGCTGGACATCTGATCCATGTGTAAACGCACAACAAACTCGTAACGTGTGTTGGACCTTAGTCCTTGCACCATCACTGTCTGTTCAGTCCTGCAGAGAAACCCACAGAAAAATCAGATACAGCAAACAATATCAACTTTTCAGGATATGCGTTATGTTAGTGTGCTTGTCCAACCCAGCCTAAAGTACATTAAGTACTTAGTACATTATTAAGAAAAAAATGGGTCTACATCATGTTGAAATATGATGGTTTCTCTTCTGGAAGCAGAACACTTACGTTTGGAGGTAGCGAACAGCCGAAGCATTGTATGGAGCCACAGGGCCATAACGGATTGAATAGCTGACTGGCTTTCCTGAACTGAAGGCAGGACGGCCCCAGCTGAGCATCACTACTGAAGAGCTGTTAGTCTGGCCATGGACATGATCTGGAGCAGGCAGTGTGGCCAACCTCCGGTTGGGAGCCGCTGTAAAAGAAAGATGTATTAGCTTAGGAGCTATTTTAGTAAAAGAAAACAGGAAAAAGCATACTGTTTAGTGGAAAATAAAAACATTTTTTACATTTAGTAAAAACATAGTCTCAAATTCTTAAGGTTTTAATTTTTGTTGTTCTGTTTTCTTATGGGATGCTATGATTTCAACACTTAATATTTTCCTGGTGGACTCACAAGGACAGCCAGGAGTGCTGACAATCTGATGTGCCTGATAGCCATCCCCATGAGCGCTGAAGGCCAGCAGCTTCACATGGTACTTCCTTCTTGGATCTGCGCAGTGAGAGAAACACAAACGTCTGCATTGTTGTTTTATATTTCTTTTTGCTGTTAGTGCATCTCTCTAATAAGATCTCAACAACCGTGCAAATCCTAATGGATTTGGTAATGGAACGGATCCGAAACTGTTCATTATTATTTCCCTGCCTGAATTTTTGAGAAAAAAGCTTCTAGTTAAGGGTCTAACCAGAAATACAACTGTGCATACTGAGGTGACAGTCATTGTGTTGTTTCTGCACTGGTCAGCTCTGCTGCTTTGTTCATGTCCACTCTCTCACCATAGGTCATCAGTCAATGTGACAATAATTAGCAGTCAGCAGCCCTCCAGTCAATGCAACTATGTTAGGAAAGTCTCATGACACAAAACAAAGGCACAAGACAGTAGAGCCATCCTACACAAAGACAGTGCTGCAAATTTGCACTTCTTCTTTATATTATATTATATTTGTGACTACTTGCTAAAACTAATTTGCTTATAGTTCATATCAGAACTGAAAAGATCAGGTTAGACTGTTGCTGTTTGAATTTCAAGGATAAGTTCTGGTAAATATCAAACAGAAAGAAAGGAAGAAAATGAAAACAGATTGTTTGTGTAAATTAAGCCTTCTTAGAGGTTAGAAACCAGATGAGCTCTGGCTCTCATGGCCTCTTCTTTTCATCAACTCAACACCAGTATCACAGACAGCCACTAACACCACAGAAAAACAGGAACATTTTGGATCTAACATCCTTTTAAAGTAGTCCACTTGTACGTGCCCCTCGTCAAATTATGTGTTTATTGATTTTCTAAGTGAAAATAAGTGAACACATCCTCAACAGAGAACACATTTCTGCACACTTTAATGCAGGAGGGCTTGGCAATATGACAATATTTATCACTATTGTGATAAATTATGTCACAATTTGTCACAGCATGCTTTTCTGTGTGACATGAATATTGTCAGTACTTCTAGAACTGCATGTTTCATAATAAAGAGAATATAATTAGTCCTGTTGAACTGGATTTAGTGCAGTGCAGGATGTAAAACGTTGAGTACAAATCATTGTTTTCATAATTTTCAGTAGTATTTTTCTAAACATGGCACCACTGGTTCTTGTCTGTTCCAACATATCTCAGAAAAAAACATACATATTGTGTGACATATTGTGTATCATAAAAAATTCTCATTATCATGACATTAGATTTTTCCCACCTCTGTGCAAAATTACAGTTCATTTGCTGAATATAACATATTAGAAAAATATAAAACGCAAAACGTGGCCTGTGCAAAAGTTATGGCACATTTTATGTTCTATTTCTCCCCCAATATGTTATACTCAGTAAATAGAGAGAAGTTGAGTCCTACAAATTGCAGAAAAAATGTCATATTTAATGCCATATTTAAGTGTGTTCTCTGTTTTTATTTTACTTATTTGCAAACCCCCTGTAATTTGACCAGGGGGTGTTCAAACTTCTACACTGATTTACATAAAATAATATCATGCCTGATTTACCTTAAAATATTAAGCAGACATTTAAATCAACCATAAAAGATAAGAATTTCTAAAATTATTGATGGGTGAGTAATTTGATCTTTGTCTGAAGATCTTAGTGAGAGGTCTGGCTGGGTGTGGGTAGTGTGGGGGGTTGGTAGGGTTTGAGGGGTTTTGGGGGGCAGAGGTTAGAGGTCGTGGGGCACCGTCACAGGCGCTTTTCAGCTGCTGGGACGGCCCGTCTCCTGGGACGCAGAGCTTATGACCTGAGGTCTAAAGGTCGGCCTGAGATAAAACGTCATGTTCACGGACATGCAGAACGAGTTAGGCTAACTGTTTCACTCTTAAAAACAACATGCCTTTAGCATGAAACAAACATGATGAAAGAACAGAACGAGGCAAACTACAGCGCTTAAAACCACTGCCCCAAAAAAACGTCTTTCTCGGACTACTCAAGTAGTAGCTCAGAAATGTGAAAACAAATTCTCATTCAAGGCAGATGGGTTAATTTGTTGACCAAAAAGCTCTGAAGATTTGTTTGGTTTTTTAAAATAAGAATCTACTTAATAGTGTATGGTCCAACTGCTCATCAATTACTTTTCCCTTTTCCCACAGTCCATGACTGTGAATTTGAATCCTTAACCATTTTCTCCAAGTTCTCTGCTTATGTCACCCTGCTTTGTCTGTCCAGCTCAGGCCAAGGCCTTTGTTTGAGCTGCAGTGTCCAGCTGGAGAGGGAGGGGGAGGAAGGGTCTCACAGGCTTCTGCCTCGCCTGCAGAAGGCACAATAGAGAGAGCCATGATGGAGCAAGGGACAGGGATGGGAAAGAGGAAGGTGGAGACATCTGGGCTGTAACCTTTGACACTGACGGGTGGCACACACACAAAGCCAGCAGCAAACTGATCAGATGGTTCACGCATAAGGCAGAACAGACTGGTGACCAAGTATCGATCAGGAAGAAAATGGAAAATCGTAATATGAAAGTGTTGAGACTAAAATCCTAATAATAGCAACCATTATGAGAATTCTAGTAAACATCATGATTATCAACACAAATCCTTAATTATCACTTCAATGTGCCACTAATTCAAAAAACAGTGATATAATATTGTGACATATTATAAAGCATCGCATCAGCAATAAATAATTTTAAGAAAGTATGATGCATCCCACAGAATATGGTTTAACCTTATCTAAAACTGTTCCAGAAGCAAAATGTAAAATGTACATCATAGCACATATAAAAATAATATGTAAATGTATGTGCCCCTAATATCAAACTGGCATACATTTGTAAGTAGAAAGTAACTGTAATACACTAGTACAGCTGTTATTAAGTAAGTAGCTGTAGAGAATCTATAAGGTCGTATATAACCTGAAACACACTGTACCACTCACCAAGTCCTGCAATGGTGTGCTGGTAGTCCTGAGGGCGGAACTGGATAGTAGAGCCCTCTGATTGGCCATCAGGGTAATAGAGGAGCTTGTAACCCTGGATAATAGCATCACTGGGTGCAGGGTGCCAGCGTACAGTAATGGAGGTGCAGTTCAGGGGCTCCAGCTCCAGATTAGGGGCAGGGGGCACTGGAGATTTGAACAGTAACAAAGAGATCTGTGTAGTAAACAGCTAATTCCTCATGTATAAGGGTAACAACATTTGAAGAGCATAATTAACTGATATATGATTATGGTAGCACAGTATGGACAAAATGCTAGTATTGTGATTATATTGTTAAATATTGTGGTTGCTTTACAGTCACATGCAAATATTCCCAATATGTTGAACTAAAAGGAAGCTGTGCAATAAAATGTGCAGGAAATGCCACATTTAAGTTTGTTCTTAACTTATTTTAACTTTTTATTTTCACAGAAAATAACCAAACAAGTATTTTGACTGGGGGTGTTTAAACTTTTTCTTACAACTGTATATTGAAATGCACTAGTGATTCAGTAAAAGGACATGGTTAAAGATTAAAAGAGTATAAAGAGGCCCACACTCAACAAATGACTAATCATGTATACATGAAAACTGGAATTGTTCAAGATGCTCACAGCACAGAGTAAAAAAGGTGACTGGTCATATATACACCTTTTTTCAGGTATATATACATTTTTTCAATGGTAGTACTGCCCAATGAATGACACAACCCAAAGATTAACTGAAAATGATGTCTGAAAATTTCTTTTCAGTCATTCAGCCTGCTTGCTTACAAATCAAATCTACCATCTTACACTTAATTGCTGCTTCTAATGCTATTTGCATGGTAATGTGCAATCAATGGTGGGTTATTCTCAGTATAGTAACTAGAATGGATAAGGATTAGACTAGATTTTGTTTCCTGTGAGGACAGTTTCCAGGATGTGAATCAATAGCAATCTGTCTATAAGAGACAATGCTAAAGGCAAAGGAGTCAATGGTAAATAAATAAACAGTTTCGACTACACATATCAGCCAGTGAAGTATCTCAAGTTATTGATCATATTGCTTTCAATTATTTAAGCATGATGACTTCTTCAGTGTCATGACAAGAGCTTGGACAAAACAATAAAAGTATCTAATGGTCACTCCTCTAGACATAATAAAACACTTCTGTGATGTTTGTTACATATTTTTCCAGATCACAAACTGTTGCTCTGTTTTGAATTTGTCCTGCAATCTATATTCTGCACACAATTAGAGAGGATGTTCTCACATGCTCTTTTTACCTTAATAAAACAGCTTCTATAGCATTAATATGTCACATAATATTACACTTCCCCCACCCGTATTCAAAGTCCCTTTGCATAACTAAATCATGACCACAGCCTGTACAGTTTAACCACCATCAAGGCCAATAATCCACCAGCACTGCTCTGTGTTTCACTGACTAAACACAACAGTGAGTTTTTGGTTGGCCAAACAGCATCTAAAGGGAGATAAATAAATGCAGTTGGGGCCCCTTTACCTTCCCCACTCATCGCCACTGCCTCTAAAACAGCCCTATTCTTCTCCATGGCTGTGTGCAGCCTGCGGCCCTTTCCTTTATGACCCGTGACTGAGCCAGCCCTCAACTCCTAACCTCAGCTCCTGACAGACCAGGTCAGAGGTCACTGAGCAACAAACGCAATACCTCAACAATGTGGGTCTGCGAGCAGCTGTTAGGCTATGAGCTGGCTTCTTTACTCATTCACCATGCCATTTATAAAGTATTTAACAAAAACAGAAAAAAGTAATAAGCAATGGATTTGAACTCCGCTGCTTCAGCCTACAACGTTTGCCAATGACAATAAAACAAAGCAAGACATTCAAACAGCAAAAGCTAACAGCTTTATGTCTCAGTCTTATCAAGTTAGAGATAACTGATAGTTGTGAGTGAACTGTCATACCTTGTTATACCTTCTCTTTCATTAGTAGGCTGAAACAACTGGATCTAAATCCATTAGTTATTAATTGATAAATACTGTTTGTTAAACAGGGTGTCAGAGGCATTGGATGAAAACTAGCCTCTTGGGTTAATTCTGGTTTATTAAACCTCAGCTGATATTGTTTATTAATGCTCACTGCCCCTGGTGAATAAACTAGTAAAATAAAAAAATATATAATAATAGTTTGAGTTTGCACTCTCACCAGTGGAGCTGGAGGTTTTGGGTGTGCGGTGTGAACTCCAGGCTGAGGGTTGGCTCCAGCCTATGCGTGTGGAGACAGCTATACGAAGCAGGTAGATGGTGTCTGGCTGCAGGCCTTGAAGCAGGTGCTGAGTAGAGTTCTCCCCTTCTCCAGGCAGCTCCACAGAGCTCACCTGTTCATCAGCAGCTGTGCGGAAGGACAGGCGATAGGCAGAGACACGTCCGCGGCTCAGCTTTGCAGGAAGAGGCTGCCAAGACACCAAAATATTGGTAGGACTGCGGCTGGTAAGGCTGAGCTCAGGGGTACGGAGGGGCACTGAGAAAGAACAGGAGAGAGGAATTATGATTATGGGTCATATATCTGTGAAAGGAGAGTAAACTGTGAAAAACAAAAATGTAAACAAAGCTCATGAGTTTTCCTAACAACAAATGTGGTAGCAAACTGGCTTAAACAAGTTTTGGAAAACGGACACCACAGCTGTGTTTACAGCTCCAGTACAAGGCATAGTTCAGTGTTAAAACACCTGATTCAACTGATGAGCTCACAACCAAGCCTTTCTTGAGCTGAAGCAGATGTGTTAGTGAAAGAAAACACAAAACTGTGAAATGCCGAGGTCACTGTGAGGCAGCACTGCACTAGGTTTACAGTGAACACCTTTCTATTATGTGCATGTTTGTAATAAGTCTATACTGACAGTTATACTGTGGTGCACTCACCATCCTCCAGTGTGTGTTGTGTAACTTGCTCAGACATGCGGCTGGCTCCCATGGGCATGTAGGCCACTATATAAAATGTGTAGTTACATGCCGGCTCCAGATCGTCCACAATGTGGCTAGTTGTGTCGTTTCCAATCACTGCCTGGTACTCTTCGTTGTTCAGACCTGAGGTTAAAAACATTCAAATAAATTTCACTTTTTCCAATTAGTAAAACCTTCCGTAGTTTCCAGTGTAATTCCAAAAGAAGGGAAGAAACAGTATAAACAGTCAGCAAGGCTGCCTAACTATGATTTGTAACATCAGATAACATCAGATAACCACATTTTATTGAATTATACCATAAAAGATGACTAGAAGCCTAGCTAAAGTAAAAAAACCTATCTAGAAAACTACAGAATGAACTCCTGTTCCTTTCTTTTGGAATTGCTATTTAAAGTTTGCAACCACTTTTGAAGATTCTTCAGTAATCGTTTGGTAATGTTTAAACATAACAATCTCACATGTTGCTCCTTTGAAACAAATCTAAGAGGGTCTCTAACAGCCTTATCACACATCAAATGCTTGGATGCAGTCAGGAGGTTCCTGTTACAAAAACTTGCTGACGGAAATATGAAGTGCTATCTTGTGTTTTCTAAAGGCCTCTTGTCCCTCTTTTCTCTTCCTCTCAAACATCATTCCTAATACAGAACAGAGGTACATTCCACTTTAAATAGCCCTCATTCTTGCCTCCAGGGCCTCTCCACAGCAAAAATGATAAAACACCACAGAACTCGGCCAGACCACAACATTGCACGATAGGCAAATCTAGATAGCCATTATCATACATGAAAAACTCATATGTGAGGACTTGACCTAGTTCTGGCTTGTCCACTCGAAATTGTAAAAAAAGGACTGAGTCACTGCAATACACAAAATTTTGATTCCTTCACAAGACATTATTCAGTCTTTAGAATCTGTAAATGCCTGATGTTCTTGAAGTGACTGCATGGCAGCAGTGATGTAGTTGAGCTACAGAGCAACGGGATATCACCCTGCCACAAAGTAGGTCATTTACTAACAGTGATAGATATTTTAGTTTTAGTCTGCTTTTAGTCAGCTACATCATATGTACTAGTGTGAAGCTCAGCTTTACAACTGTGCTCAGAAATAAACCTTCAAGTTTCATCATTCTTAACCTACAATGTGATAATAATGACTTCACTATAAAATGTATACTTCTGCATAAGATTATGACAGATAAAACATACAGCATTTTTTACCAGACAGTTTTGCCAGAATGATAAACAAAACTGAAGACACAGCCCCAAACCTGAAAGTGTGTCCTGTGCCTTTAAGAGTAACTGGAGCTCTTTCTCTGTGAGTGGATAATAGCTGGTCTACCCCTTCTCCTGCCCTGACCTTACTGTTGTATAGTAACAACAGATGGCTAAAACTGAACAAACCTGGGTCTCACATCATTATGATACCACAGATCTCCTCTGTATAGTGGCACTTAAAAACAGTTTTAGTTTTTTTTGTTGGTGTGTTTACTTGATGTACAATGAATTTTGCTGCAGAAGCAAAAGTCTAGTTTAGGGCTGAACAAGATATTTTGTTAACCATTATCATGGTACTGGGCATTATAATGCCAAACACAGAAAGCTGCTATATGCAAAAGCTCTCTACAAAGAACAATTTTTTATTGTGTGTTGTGACCAAACTTGGTTCCAGAGAGATATTTGCAAAATCCACTGAAAGTAAATTATTTCAGTCAAAATAATGCAGCTAATAATGTCACATTATCAATTCTCTATTAGTATTATCTCTGTTAGTATTATCTCTGTTAGTATTATCTCTAGTAGTATTTTGTCCTACGTATTTTACCCCTATTTGTGAAATCAAAAAGGGGTAAGCTCTATTTTAACACTTGCCTTCTGCCTTCATGTAGTGCACTGAGTAAGCAATGACTTTTTCCGCGTTGTACTGAGGTCTCTCCCAGGCCAGTAAGATGGCTGAGCTGGAGATGGTCTCAGCGTGGACGTGTCGGGGTGCACTGGGCCGATCCTCTGACATGACCACAATCAGCCTCGCCATGGACAGAACTGAGCCCTGAGAGTTTTCAGCCTGGCACTGGTAGATGGCATCATCCTCAGGAATTATCTGGGTTATCACAAGTTTGCTGAAGGAGATGAAGAATAAAAGCTTTTAGAACTTCCAGTTTGGCTACGAAGATTCCCATTAACCAGTGTTCACATTACCGGTCCCACTGTTTTTCTAACCAATAAGTTCTTACCTTACGCAAACCTGAGTCCAAAGCCTTGCTGCTTGAAGCCTACCCATCATTTTCCAGATTGACAGTTTTTCTTATTTTATATTCAGTAATAAAGTACACAATGAGGATTTGAATATTACAAACTATTCACCAAATGGATTTTGTAGATGTTTTATTCAATCTTGCAAGAACTTTGCGAACAAGAAGTGAATAAAATGATAAATAATACACTGAAGTTGTGTATTTACGTTGTCAAGTTATCTGCCTTGAAATTTGATCTCCAGTTTTAAAATATGATGAATTCTGGATATTAATTTTATTCTAACCAATTCTCAATGTTAAACAGCTTTCTCAGTCATTTTAGAATCTTCTACAGTTCTAGTCATCATTCTGGACACATCTAACATTTTTTCAGTTTTATTTACAGCTTTCTAGTGTGCTGCCAGTTATTTGAAACCACTAGACTCATTTTATGCATCTGTCTGCAACCAAACTGGTTTTGTATTATAATATATTTAGTATCAAATATATGTGTGTGTGTATTTGAATTGATTTTATATTACGTTTATACCTCATAAATTTATGAGAGTCAGTCTAAACTTCAAGTCACGTTTTGGGCCAATACATTTCTATGATGCAAACAACTCGCAATTCATGACATAATATTCCTACTCTCCTCTGAATGGTGTCAGAACAAATAAGCATGTTTTTTTACCAAATGCCGGTACTCTTTTAACTGGACTAGTTGTATTGGCCAGTACAACCACACTTTACTTCTAAATGCGATGCAAGAGGCCTACCTGTTGTACATCTTAATTCTGCCATTAGAGTGGATGGCTGCCCCATTCTTCAGCCAGCTGATGCGGGGAGAAGGCATCCCCTCTGCCTGGCAGCTGAATCGAGCTGTGCCCGCTCTGGGGCGCGTCTGACTCTCTGGCTTTTCCACCAGAGATGGGGACACTGTGAGAGGACACATTCAGATTCAGAGTGAGGTTAGTAGACTTAAAGCCCTGGTCTACAACAAAGGAGACTGTTCTATTAACAAAGCAACTAAATACGGCACCAGAACACGTACAGAGTAAAACCTCCAGTGTTTAATTAATTCTTACTTTGTTCGCTGATGTCCAGCTCAATTCAAATAAACACTGTATGTATATGCATTTGTTAACCCCTTACGTCTATGGGTCTCACTCTCAAAACTGCATCAGTTACACAACAATTCATAGTAGTTATTGAATAATAAATCTTAAGGTTAATAACAGAAAAATAAACCTAGAGCTGACCGTCAACATGGGTGATTCTGCTGTGTTAAAATATTGGTGAAAAATAAATCTGCTTACCAAGCACAGTGAGGTTTGCAGCAGCGATGGTGTAGTTCCTTGTGCGTGGTGTTGTTGCTCTGCACAAGTAAATTCCACTATGTTGGGCTTTTACACTGGAAATGACAAGGTTTCCATTCCCCAGCACTCTTGAGCCAAACACATCAATGGGCTTGGAGTCGGCCCTGCTCCAGGACACCAGAGGCCGAGGGTTACCCTCTGCTATGCACTCCAAAACGACAGTCTGGTGCAGGCTGGCGCTGATGTTTTGAGGACCTGCAATGATCTGCGGCTTCATAAGCGGCTTGGCTCCAGAAGCTAAAGCAAAGAGAACAGATTTAACTGGTAGTACTGTGAGTTTACAATGTTTTTAGTATGGCGTTTTATTCCTTTCCACTCTTAGTCTTCCACTCATAGTCATTTAATCTGACAAGAATAGAAAATAAACACACTTTCCTCATATTTATTCAGATGTATTCAAACACACATATACACTCACCTGGGTTGACAGTAAGTGTAGCCTCTCTGCTTCTCAGTCGACTAGCAATGTTGGTGGCTACACAACAGTACACCCCTGCATCCTCTGGTTTTACCTCATGAATCTGCAACACTCCATTTGGTAACACTGTGATTCTAGAGATACAAAAACAAAATTATAATCAAAACACAAGTCTCCATTCATACGGACAAAGGTTGCTCTGCTGAAATGTGTTTGCTTTCAGCACTTCTAAAGGTTAAGCCTACAACTCATTAGTTCCGTGGATCTGACTGTTTCCATACAGCTTCCATTCAGAAGGGAATGTGTGTACCTCTCTGTCTCCAGAGGCAGAGCTCTTTGGTTGAATTCCCATGTGATAATGGCTGGTGGGTTGGCTGTGACACTGCAGGCAAACCTAGCGACAGAGCCCTCACTAACTACCACAGGAGAGGGCTGGGTCACAAAAGATGAGATACCTGAAAAAAGTAGAGAGAAAACAGAAAGGCCACCGTGTTATTTACTGAATAGACTTGACACTAATGTACAAACAAACCTCCTTCCACCAATAATACACAAAATTGTTTTTAACAGCGTTCCAAAATATTTACATCAAACTAGTTCTGCACCTTCACACAAAGAGCATGGCATTCAATACAATGTCTGCTCTGATCAATGGATCAATGAGCCAATGGCAGTGAATGATGGCCATTCATAGATCATCTACTAATCAATAATTGCCCTATTCCCTAGGAGAGTCAATTCACTCAAAATATTGCCTGAATTTAATTGTCCTGTTCAATCAGCTCTACCAAATGCAGCTTTAAGGTAAAGAGATCTTATTATCCAAAGCAATATGACTTTCTGAAGCATGTAAAAGGTAAATAAAGGCACACAGCCACCTGAGAGAAGCTTTTAAAGAACGCCACACATTCAACATAATGGTAGATAAAATAAAATGTAAAGACTCAAATGTACCTAAAGCTGAGTGTGAAAACAGATAAATAACTAAGTTTCAAAGAGAGTAACAGCTTTTATGAATTAATGGATTATAATTATGAATTAATGTTTTATGTATAGCATAAACCCCTGACAAACACAAAATACCACTATACGGTGTTAATTACATAAGAATGCTAACTGGCTTCTGTACACAGTTCTACATTTCATCTTCATAATCTCTCTCTCTCTCTCTCTCTCTCTTTCTCTCTCTCAACAGGGGGTGATAAAGGAAATCAATGGATGTTCATCTCCTGGTAAAAATCCCCCATGTAAATCATGCTGGAGGAAGGCAGTGAATTAAAAGGGCCTTTATTTACGTGTGCAGCTTAATTACAGCTAAGTGACATTCAAATAACCCAGCAGCTCTCTCTCCATATGGGGTACCACACTGAGAAATGAACTAGCCTTTGCCTTGATCATTAACTTGACCTATGCTTGGTTCACTGAGTCAAAAGTCTATGCAGCACCATCTCCTCATGTAACCATTTTGATTAGACTTCTTTGATGTATAAATTCTTTAGGGGATCATTTTTGTTATTCTAAGGACACAAGAGCTCTCAGTATTGTGCTAAAAGAGATCTTATCCCTGCTCAGGATTAGCAGGTCTAGTTACACAGCTGTTGCTGCTAACGCGGAGAAGAATGCAGTAGTTTCATCTCAAGCTCTTCAAAGGTCTGAATAAATTTATGCAGGAGCTAAGTCTAGTTTAGAAGACCACATTTAATGTAATCTTTGAACCCGACTGTTGGCTGAAATTATGTTCATCACATGTACAGCATCTAGAAAACCTTTGAATATTGCCAAGGATTGTTTCTACAACGTTGTGGCTAAAAATGTGAACTAGTGTGGTCAGGCCTGCATATTTTCATGCACTGATTTTGGAGGTTAATTTACTGAGAAATCTAAAAATGGATCCTTCTTTGCAGTTGTGCAGGATGTATCAAAGCAATAAAAATCAATGAACCACAATCTGAACAGAGACTTGATATAATGAGAGAAATCCCCCAGTCCTAAATCAGGCCTCTTTAAGCAGGTTTCTGTGTGCATCTAGCCGGCCAGTCCTGTGAGGTCGGCTGGGTTATAAAGGGAGGATCAATGCCTAGGTCAAACAGGACAAAGGTTTCCTGCCAAAGGTCAGGGGTCACCTGAGCCCATCTGTCCACTCAATTTCAGCCAAAATTGGGAGACCCCTCTAATCGAATGCATTCAGAATAATCAAGTACCCAGTACTATGGTAGTTTTAAGCAAATCCAACCAAATGGGTAACACTTTGACATTTAGTTGTTTTTTTCCTGGTAAAAATGTCTTACTTTTATAATGTGTCCCTTGCAAAAAAGAAAATATCTAAATTTACTATAACTATTACTATAATATAACTACATTCAAATAATGGAAAATGTTTCACTAGTTTTTATATAGATTTGACAGTCTCACAGCAGAAGACAGTGGAATAACTACGCATATTTGCCAGAACACTGGCTGATGCAGTAAAGAAAAGACTTTGTGAACAGCACTAGTGCATCAATCAGGTTGGATCCAGGCGGCAGGCAGACCAGGTCACAGTGGCAGCCCACTGGCTATCACCCTGAGGTGGGACAAAGCCAGTCCCACAACCCTGCTGACCTCTAGGCCTCTCCCATGGGCCCTTGCACAGTCTGGGAATAAAGCTGACCAATAGGCTAGTCCCCTCCCCCAAAAACCGAACCAACATGAGGTTGGCTAGGTTACACAAAGTTTTTAACCCTTTGGATGCTGCAGATGTTGTTTGTGTCCTTTTTCTTTTTCTCATTTCAGGAGAAATATCACTTGAGGAGGAGACAGAAGGGCAGCAACTGGATTTTTGAAGCCATATGACTTGTTCTCTTCAATTTGGGATTTGCATATCACCAACTGATAAACTATATGACAAACTTGTAGATGTAAAAATAAAAAACACAAGACTAAGTAAGAGAAATGATAAACAACTTTAACCTGTAGCAGTTCATGTGATATGACCTCTTTACCAAAATGTAAAACTAAAACGTACCATACCATAATAGTACATATGTAATATGCTAATAAACAATTCTGAATACCATGCTTCAACTTTCCAACAAAATCACTTGCTCTCCATATATCTGTGACTGTGACTTTATCTAGTTGTTTACTGTTTAGATAACACTGCTTATATGTAACTTTTTTCCAAATTAGACTGAGCTGCTTTCTCTTTGTCAAGGCCATCGCTGGCCAGGCTGAATAGGCACAGCTGTCCTCTGTCCGCAGATCTGTGGCCAAACAAACGTCCCTGGAGCAGCACTCTTTTCTTTCAGGGGATGGCCAGGGCCACAAGGACAAAGGAGGCCAGAGAGAATGGCCTTTTAGAGATTCCTATGTGTAGCCAACCAGAAAACAACAGCATGGGAGGCAGTGGCCTCCACAATACCACTGCCGAAACCCTAACACAACTGCATGCAAATGCATGGAGCTATAGAGCATGAAAGTGTGTGTGTGTTTGGAGTAGAGGCTTTAGACTCAACTTGCTCTTCCTCATTCTTTCTCAGGTAACTAAAATCTTTATGATGCTCTATATTGACTCTCCACTCTGCCTTAAGTGTCCCTTTAAAACAAGCTAGTAAACACTGCAAGGATGTAACAGCCTCTAAAGCTGTTCACATATAACCTTACACCTCTGTAAATTAATACGACACGGTACTATTAAAGCCATTTTGACAAATCCAACTTTTTTGGAGAAAATGCTGGCAAAATATATGTTTGAACATATCATCCTCTATAGAGTAGTTAGAGTAGTTAAAGAAAGTTGTAAGTTCTTTACAAAAACACCAGAGTGTTAGTGCCCCTGCTCATTTGTCCAGAGGCAGAATGTGTTAAAGTGTCAACAGATAAACACATAATGCAACACACAAGATAAGGAAGCCTGTCAAACGGCTATACGGTGAAGTCGAACCACCGAAAAAGGCCTGTACTCTGACTCCTCTCTCAATGCTCAGTGACAGTTTTAAGTGTCAACATGACACACAAACTGAGAGACTCTGCTAAAACAGGCTTGGTTTCCTTTCACCATCACGTTTCCTCCCATACTCACTTGAGATTGTTAGACGAGCTCTTTGGCTTAGGATGGCTCCATATTTATTGTGAGCCAGGCACTGATAGAAGCCTTCGTCGGACTGCTCTCCTCCTCTCCTCACAAACGAGAGAGACAGCGATCCATTGGGTAAGACGCGGACACGGTCGCTCTCTAAAAGTTTGGCCCCGTTTTTCTGCCATCTGACGTCCACGGGTGGCTCTCCTTGGGCCAGACAGTCCATCACAACGTGATCACTGTGAGATACCGTCTTGTCACTGGGTTCAGTCATAAAAGACAACTCACTAAAACACAAAACAGCTGCAGAAAAGGAGGGAAAGTGAAGCAGAAAAGTCAGAAATCCGGGAAAAAATAAGTACTAATAAGAGTTAGACAGCAACGCATCTATATCAGGCTTTGGGCAGGACACTGGGCACCAGAAAATCAGAGTAACTTTAATGAAGAGTTTTTTCCCCTGAACTAAGTCATAGTTTGGACATGCTGAGATAAGCCTGTAAAAGATTTAATCCGTTTAGTCACGGTCAGTTGAAAAGGTGGTGGGGGGAGTGACTCCGGTTGCCTGCAAGACAATTAGCTACAGCTTAAAGCATCAAACTCTCCTGAGTGAGGCATAAACTCAAAAGTTGATACCCTGACTGTGATACACGGTGTTAAATGTATCTTTTTATCTTCTATCGTATGTGAAAAGTCATATATGTGAACAGACAGAGGTTTTAAACGAGAGGATACAGTCAGAAGCAGCTTTAGCTACTCAGCGCCACCTCAGGGTTATACTCGCTGACACTTTCAGCACGTGCAGCCTTCCTCACTACAAAGGTTCATTTTCCACAGAAACACAGTTTTATCAGTTAACGGTGGGCTACTTCTCTACCCCTGTCTTACTGACATACTTCCCCTTAACGACCCCCTCCTGTCCGACACCTCGTAGCAGCCAGTGCTCCTCTGCTCCACCTCGGGGACCGTGTGTACAACAGTAAACAGAATAGGAGTGAGTCTCTCTCACCTGGTAAGCTCAGAGTCCAGAAGAGGACCAGCAGCCGCTGCCTCGTCTTCCGCCCGGCGGCCGCCATTTATCCCGAGTTCTCTGTCATTCTCCGTCCGGCACGGCGCTCTGAAGGCGACCCTTCCGCTCTGAGCTCTGCTTCCTAATGAAAGACCCTCACCGCTGCTCCTCCACAGCGGCGCTCCTGCTGCACGCACCCTCCCCCTTACCGCGCCGTGACGTCACTGGACTCGAGCCCCTTCTGAAGACTCCCACCATGACTTACCCCATTTTTGTCACTTTATCAAAGTTGTGGAGTTTTATTTGAAATCCTCAACTTCCTCTTGTAAGAAGAGAGCCGTGAGAACATGGACACTCTCTTCTGACTGTGGAGTGTTGTGTAAATAATCCGTTTTATAATATTTTATTTCTTGTATCCTTTATTTTATTGATATTTTCTGATATATAGCTGTTTATTTCATTGCTCCATTTATTTTTTTCGGTTTATTTATTTGTTTATTTATTGTTCTTCTCTGTCCCCTGGCTGTACTTTATATAATATAAGCAAATATTAATTAATAAAAGTCTCCCACCATGACTTTCTATAAAGTTCTCTAACATTTATTCATTTATATATATATTAATTTATTTATTTAATTATGTATTGTCATTTCTAATTGCACAAAAACATTTACAGAGACATTACTTATTGTACCAACAAACTTAACAAACAACAGGAGCTATCTGCGGCTACACCGTAGAAAGTGTAATAGAGCAGGAGTTGATTGTGCCTTCGAGATTTGGACTGATGTAAAAATTGCTTGTTATTTTGTATTTTTTTTCAGGCCAAAGTATTTATTTGAAATAAATAAAAACAGGTAAACTGCTTGTTACCACATCAATTATTTTTTTAGGTTGTGAGGAAACATTATTTACAGTGTAGTATAGGATGATGGCTGAAATATTGTTGTGTTATTACACATCAATTTGTGTGTGTTCTGACAAAAACATGTTTTGTTTTATTCAGTATCACTACCATTTATCCAGCTGCCATACTGTGCTTAAACAAACTACTTTGCTCACTTTTTTTTCAGAGGATATGTATTTATGAATGTCTACAGGAATAGATGTTTGTGTGTGTGTGTGTGTGTGTGTGTGTGTGTGTGTGTGTGTGTGTGTGTGCGTGTGTGTGTGTGATGGTGTGTATGTGTGGTAGAGTTAAAGTGTGGGTGTCAAGAGTGAGATTTCTATTTCTATTTTCACCTATTGTGTAACTAAAGACAAATTCACTGGTCAACAAAAGCTGATTCTGATATTCAAACCAAAGAAATGCTGTAAAATAAAAATCTGACTGACTATTCTTAAGGTTATAGAAGTGTGTAATAAAACTTTACCATGTAAGAGATTTAATAAATTTCAGGCACAATTTAAAACCCCTAGACATCTTGGCTGCATTGGGAAATGTGCAGGGAAGAAAAATCACCGCTGTGGATGGTCTGTAAACAGTAAATGAGTTGAAGAATGTGTGGGAAGCCGGAAAGTAAGCTCACTGCACAAAAACACTTTAGGAAAGTAAAACAAAATGCTGATGAACATTATGTCAAGAAGAATTTTTCAAAGGTTGCTTTTGTAATGATCAGTGACACCAAAAATGAACGCAAAATAGAAAATACATGCCAACAGTTTATCAGTGTTTTAAGCTCAGGTCTACAAATCAAGCTCACGCTGCTTTGTCATAAGCTCCCTGGACAAAAAAATGAGACACATATATAATTTCTTCCCCAATGCTTAGTTAAGAGTCTCCTTGCCTTAATGACAACAGCAATCCTGTCAGGTAAGGATTACACAAGTCTTCTGAAATCGCTCCTGTCCGTTGTCCACTCTCCCTAGAGCAGAACACAACATTGACATTCCCACATTCCAGGAGGACGACTGTGGGGTGTCTGTATGTAACTGGCACACAGACACTGACAGAAATGTGCACCCAGTTTGTGAAAGAGTGAACTGGTATAATCTTTACCTGACAGGATTGATGCTATTATTAAGCCAAGGGACACATGTAACCAAGTTTTAGAAAAGAAACAATGCATGCCGCTATTTTTTTGTCCAGAGAGCTTACCTTCCTTGAAATAATTAAACCCCTTAAAATCCCAGGCTAATTACATACTAAGGCTTATTATTCAAAAACTACAGGGACTTCAATGCAAACAAGTTGAGCTATTTTTAGGTTACAGAAGTGTGTGATAAAACTTTGGGCCCACTGGCCCTGACCATGTAATGTGTTAAAGGAATTATTTTCTACACACTCCACTGCTATCCACACTCCATCTATAGAGGTGATTTTTCATCCCCACACATTTCCAAACTCAGCCTCAAAAGATCTCAGGGGGTTTTAAATCATGTCTGAATTTAATTTAATGAACTGTGGGGCGTTTTGCATTGTCTTGTTGGACTTTTTAGAATTTCTTGAGGTTTTCTTCCTTTAAGTGAACAGGCAGAATAAACAGATCAAAAACAGTCACTAAACATCAATTCAAGACACATGTGAATGTGAGCAATTCATTTTGACTGCCAGTGTATACACAGTCACATGCAAAAGTTTGGGCACCCCTGGTCAGATTATGTTTTGTTGATTTTCTAAGTGAAAATAAGTAACACATCCTCTACACAGAACACACTTCTGCGCCTGTTAATGGACAATTACTGTTTATTTGTGGAATGTAACATATTGGAGGGGAGAGAAAAGCATAAAATGTGACCTGTGCAAAAGTTATGGCACATTTTCTATTGTATGCTTTGTTTTTTTTTCTAATATGTTAAATTTAGTGAACTCTGCTAACTTATTTCTGCAAAAGTGTAATAAGACAGAGGGGTATTTTTTATAAGTCACTCTGGATAAGCGCGTCTGCTAAATTCTGTAAATGTAAATGTAAATGGGTATTCAAAAGCCATACAATTGTGTGAGCGTCTTGGTTATGTTTTTTGGATGCCAGAATGATTTGATAGCCAGATACCTTTGTATGGATTTTGTTGTGTAAATGAAGATAGAAGAATGCCAATAGTACACAGATAAGTTGGAACAAATAAACAAATTAACATTTAGTCCAACCCCACTATTTACTATATCTACATGTAGAGTATAGGCCTGCTTTGTCTCAGGTACTCTCAAAGTCTCTCCCCTACTATAAGCCAGCTGCCTAAAAACATTGAACTTTGGGTAATTATGAGGAGATATTGATGGCCACACGTCAGCTGCTCAATAAACACTGATATCGATCCAGCGAGCATGTATTGAGAGAGTGACCCCACCCCCTCTGACCATCACCACACACACTCACACACCCCTCCTCATTCAGGATATGGACAATGGAAGGCCAGCTGTTAAATCAGCTGAGCTTCATCAGCATCAAACCTCTTCAGACTAACCCATGTAAAACATAGGAAGCTACACAGCACAGATAAGAAAAACTATCCTGATTACTCAGTTTTGCTCTACAATTGCAGTCCATAATTAAGACTGTGGTGATTTTTGTTTTGGCTCTGTATTCCAGCAGACTGGATTTGCAAGGAAACACTGACTATCCTGTTAAAGTGAACACCTTTTATTCAAGCGTATTTACATCTACATTGGCTAAACTGTATAAAAATTGTGCCTGAATTTTAACATAAACACTTAATTTATTTTATTCAGAATCACAATCTTTTTCCAAGCTGCCACTCTGCGCTTAAGCAAACAACTTCGCTCATGTTTTTGTTTATGATTGTAGGCGTGACTGTCTACAGGAATGGATGTTTGTGTGTGTGTGATGGTGTGTATGTGTGGTAGAGCTAAAATATGAACAACGAAGATTGAGTTTTCTATTTCTTTTGTCAGCTACTGTGTAACTGAAGACAAATTCACTGGCCAACAAAACCTGATTCTGATTCTTTGGGATATTCAAACTGAACAAATGTAAAATAAAAACGAATTGCTTGAAAATCTGAGAATGACTATTCGACAATAGCAACTGACCAAGGAGAAAAGCTACTTCCAGAGAATGTACACTGAAACTAAAAAAGAATTGCACAAATATCATATACTGATTATAAGCATCTGTTACTTGATGTGTTTGCAAAATGAAATATATATATAGAAATATTGGCCTTTTTATACAAAGATCATTTCAGATGCCTATAACTAATTAAATAAATAAATGAACACAATCTTAAATAAAACTGTCATGCTTGTTATTCGGTTGCAAATCCTTTGTAATCGATGACTCAAGAGATGTTGGATATCTTCCTTCATGGTGTCCTGCCTGTGTTCATGAAACTCTTATGTTTAAGAGTGCTGGTCTATAGTAAATAAAAGTAGTAAATAATAAAGAAATCTCCTACTTTATGAAGCTCTGTGAATATAGGTGTAGGTCTGTAACGCAGCCATTTGTAGTTCTTACTCATTTTGGGGGGCTTCAGTTGGGTCTTCTTTGAGTGAAAATCTTGCTGACAGGCAAGAACATGAATATGTTTGCCCTGGTAAACTCCACGGTCACTTTAGCAGTATGTTTTGGTTCATCTGTTCAAAATAACACTCCATCCATTAAATTTGAAGGCCTTGAGTTGATCTAAGCACTTATGGTACTTCTGAACACTTCAGTTTTCATTCTGCTGCTGCCATCAGCAGTTACATCATCAATAAAGACAAGTGACAGAGTTCTACTAGCCATAATGATGTCCATGTTTCACAGATGTGGCAGATTAAAAGCAGTCTCTTTTTCTACTGGTACAGGTTGACACAGAACTACACATCTTTTTGTACTTTTTTAATATTCAGGCTTACCAGTGTGTCACATCTTATGGTGAACCTCCATGTGGATGTAGTTTTCTCATTATGGTAGACTTTTATGCATATGCTGTGCATATTCCTATACACTATACAGGGTTCTTAAAGGGAAATTACAGCAAATGTCTGCATAATTTAATGGTTAAGATGTAAACAGAGTCATTCAGAGTGGTTTGGTGTACAATGCTCTGTTCTTTCACAAAAGCTCCACCACAGTAAATTAGTAACAATTCCTGACACATTGTTTTACAATAGTTTGTTTACCATTGAACTATGCAGACTTTTTGAAAAATCTGAAAATCTTTTCAAAAGGAAAACCAAATTTT